ATACACAACAAATCAGGGCCCTCGCAGCCGGATCGTAGTCCTAAGTGCCCGGGTTCGATCCACGGCAGAGGCAGAAACAAATGGACATAGTCTCTTTCACCCTTGTGGCCCAGTTCACCTAGCAGTAAATAGGTACCTGGGAGTTAGACAGCTGCTACGGGTTGCTTCATAGGGGTGTGTGCGTGTGTATATATAAGAGAAATATATGTAGTTGACATAATAGAGGAAAAATAAATTGATTAGATAGGCGGGGTTTAAAAGCCAATGGCTCGATTCTGCAGACACAAATAGTAAATAAAAATAGTAAATACACAGCGGATAATTGTTACCCTGCCTCCACTATCAGGCTGTCATTTCACTTCTCGCTTCATTAGAGTAATACAATGGCCACATTCATGGGCTATCGCTGTTAAATGTTACACTCACAAATATCCTGGAGTAACAGAACTTCAGTGACTATGCCACTACACTCAGTATCTGTGTAAAAATCCTGTCCTCTTGACTGGGAGTCTGGCTTCGACGCACGGCTTTAAACCTTGGCCAATTATGGTAGGCTTCACTTGGTGTCCGCTCTTATCCCGCTCTCAGGTCGCAGTGAGTCCGTAGGGTCACTGAACTGCCTCGCAACGCCCCAGTGGGAGTCACGTGACCTCAGGTCACGCTCCGACTAGCGGGTCCACACGAAACTTAGCCAAACAGTTCACTTATGTCCACTCTCACGGGGCTCTGTTCTGGTGAGGGCAGAAAGCCCGCCTGATACGATGGCACCACCCGCAACCATATTGGAAATTCGCACAGCTAGGCTACCCTCCCGACATTCACAAATATCTAAATTGTATAATAAATATTTATCCTAACTCTTTCTAAACTGAAGTCAAAATAACTCTGTGCCATCCATCATACATGTTTATATAATGTATGACTCTTGACAGCAGGAATGAGGATGTTATACAGTAGGCAACATAACACTGTCAACTTAATTCTAGACATGCATCTCAATCATTTTCTAAGATGAGAAAACATACACAATTTCGTGAATACCCACAGTAATGTTAGGTGGGATTGTGTGTACAAAAAGACTGATCTCAGATGTAAGGTTCATCGAGGCAGCTGAGATGAAGAGAATTATGATTTACCCAGAAATATAATAAAAAAATTTGCAGGTCAATTAATGTTAAATAATACATAACGCATGTGCAGCTTAATAAGAGTCCACAACGAATAATAAAACACATGAGTGTTAATAACTGGCAGCATTCAATTACCGTTTAAAAGACTTGAGAGTTAGTGTAACTTCTTAACCTTGTTAAGAAGTTACTGAAATTAATCATTTAGTTAGATTAATTATTAATAAAAATTAATAATTTTAATTATTAATAATAATAATGAGTAAAATTAATAATTAATATTAATAATAATAATTATAATTAATAATTATTAATATTAATAATCTGAAATTGATTATACAAATAGCCATTGGTAAAAGTGGAATGTTATTAGCAATAAATCGTCTGCATTCAAGCCAGATAAATTAATTCCTGGCAAGCAAGGGATAACGAGCCAGCGAGGTGTTTGCTCAGCCCACTCTCCACAAAGGAGAACTGTCAGCGGAACGTGAGCATGGTGGCGTCCCTGGCTTTTATACTTCAACCCAGAATAATTTTGAAAATACTGTAGCCAGTCAGTACAATTATTTAAAGATGGCCACAGGTACGAACTAAGAACACTTCAAGTTTCCATTCCACACTTCTATAAAACATTAGTTAAGTAGAAATATATAGTTTGTTGGCCAATTTAACTGAGTATTTAGTCTAAAGTGGGGAGGTTATTAGTGGGCAAAGGCTTCAAAAATAGGTCAATGTGGATTGCATTTAATATTGCCTTATTACCCATGAGCCGACAGTGTGTTGACCAACACCAGCAGCCATACTGAAGACTGCTACAACACTTCAAGTAATGCTGAGTCAAAGAAATGTTTAGCCAACTTTATGGTTCCTCTGAGCGCCTTCCTGTTACTTATTAAAAATATATGTATAGCAGTCTTGCTCTGTTTTTACATGCCTCATTAACTTTGCATTATCTGCAAACTTGAGGCGTATGAGCTCACTCTCTCAGGTAGATCATTCATATAATTTAGTGTCATGGGGCTGTGAACCTTGTTGTGGTATACTCTATGTAAACCTATCACTAGACTGAGCTCCAGGGCTGCCTAATTACTTTCTAACATACAATCCAGCAAGCTCTCCAAGTGGGGTAGGTCGAGGCCCGGCCCCTAGGGAAAGTACTCCCACAAATTTACCTGTTTTAGGGTATGATAGACCCCTCTACACTGGATACAAGGAATAACAAGTATGTATTCTTTATGGTTTACTAATCACAGAACCTTTCCCCCTGAGAAGACCCTGGCACTGCCTGTTGGCAATTACTTTATGCTGAAATCTTCCTGGGACAGGAATAAAGGCTCAAAAACGAAACGTTCTGGGCAAGCCCAAAACTCTCTGAAGGAGGCACAGTTGGAACATCCTGTAACCCCCACAGGCATAAGAAAATTCTCTCAAAACTCATTCACACAAACACAATAACAGTGAAGCAAGCTTAGAGTTGCGTACAGATAAAATAGTTATTACAGTAAATCGGTGGCCAATACTTAAAATTAATTCATATGAACTTAACTGAGGCAAACTCCCAAGAATGAACACAACATGACCACTAATCCTCTAGTTCAGTTATTAATTGAATCCGTGTTCGAACAGTCCCTCAGAGTAGTTCAAATAATCATACAGTAACAGTCTATTCTGACTCATTTGACAACCACTTTTTTTTTACATTGTCACACTATATATAATGTACCCTTCTGGCTGTTTATTAATTCACTAATTTACACATTATATTTTCTTTAAACTAGCCAGGAGCTTACATTGCAAAAAGGCTTAGGGGGCAGCCAAGGGCATTGTCCCTAGAACTGACACCAGAAGTTAAATTAAAACCTGGAAAACGTGAACCTAAATATTCAACAACTAACCGGATAGCCTAAATTCAAATTCAAATAAACTAACCCCCTCAAAGTTTCGTGTAAAAAAAAATTAATGTATGCAATCCACTTCTCTCGACAATTAACAACAAGTTTGCTACAACTGATGTAATGTCCATCTCCTCGACAACTCCAAGTCATGATCTGCATCCTGTATAAGTGATAAGTTCTTCCAAAAGAATATGATCCATGCAAGTGCATTAAATTACAATGAAAATGCCGCAACTATTGTGCATCAGAATGCCCAAAAGAAAATAGCTTATGTACTCAATGCAGTATAACTGAGTGACTCTATGAATTCACTCAGTAAACGCGGCAGCATGACTAGAAGACAAGGGGTAAGTGTGTGTGTTTGCCGGGAACAATGGATATCCAAAGCTGCCGTGTAATGGGATCATGGTAAAAGCAGATATTACCTCCAATATTACCAGTCCACTACCTCCAATATTACCAGTCCATTACTTCCAATATAACCTCTAATATTACCAGTCCATTACCTCTAATATTACCAGTCCATTACCTCCAATATTACCAGTCCATTACCTCCAATATAACCTCTAATATTACCAGTCCATTACCTCTAATATTACCAGTCCATTACCTCCAATAAGTGTATTGGAGGTAATGGACAAATGTTATGTAATAGGGTAATTAAACGTTATATAAAATGGTATGAAAAGAGGAATGTAATTGGAAATGCAAATGGAGAAGTGTCATTTTTGTTGAAAGGAGAATAAATAAATTGCATTACTTCAATGTATAGCCTCAGACAAAATAATGTGTACAAGGGAAAAATGTTCTCACGCACAGGTTAAAATCTGATTTAAAATATCCTTCCAGAATCAATGAACAAATCAAACACAATTATTTTGAAAGGAAATTCTGAGACTAATTACTTAAAGGAAGCAACTGCATTTATTTTCAACACAAACAAGACATTAATATTTTCAAGACAGTACAAGCAAGTGAGAGTAGGAGGTCTCTCTCTCTCTCTCTCTCTCTCTCTCTCTCTCTCTCTCTCTCTCTCTCTCTCTCTCTCTCTCTCTCTCTCTCTCTCTCTCTCTCTCTCTCTCTCTCTCTCTCTCTCTCTCTCTCTCTCTCACTAACCGTGTACTTCCGCTCTATCTTCTTATCTTGCGGTTATCTTGAAATGACATCGGGGCTTAATGTCCCCGCGGCCCGGTCCTCGACCAGGCCTCCTTTTTATTACACATCCCCAGGAAGCAGCCCGTAGCAGCTGTCTAACTCCCAGGTAACTATTTACTGCTTGGTGAACAGGAGGGCATCAAGGTGAAAAACAAACTCTGCCCATTTGTTTCCGCCTCTGCCGGGGATCGAACCCGGTACCTCAGGACTACGAATCCGAAGCGCTGTCCACTCAGCTGTCAGGCCACCCTACATGATGCTAACCATGTAAATGACACCAACACTGTATATGACACCAATAATATGCATGACACCTACAATGTTCATGTCACCTACAATGTGCATGTCACCTACAATGTGCATGTCACCTACAATGTGCATGATGCAACCGTTACAAACAAACAACAAATACAGCGACCAAACACAACGGGCCAAACAAAGACAACAAATGATGACGTAAATATAATGAATATCTATATGAATATCTATCTATAATAATGAATATCAGAATTATAAAGACATAAAAGTCTGGAGTATAATGATGGCAGGTAATGAGGCCTAACAATGAAGCCAAATAATGAAGCTAAGTAACTCTCATTATTTACTAAATTTAAATATTTTGCGAATTGTTTTGGGATTCATTAAACGCATTTTAACGTGACGGGCAAGAGGGAAATATGTGTGTGTGTAGGTAACTATAGCACGGAGGCTGTGACTACAGTGTAGGGGGCCCCGGGTGTGGGGGCCCTGATTGTGGGGGCCCTGAGTGTGGGGCCCCTGATTGTGGGGACCCTGAGTGAGGGGGCCCTGAGTGTGGGGGCCCCTAAGTGTGGGGGCCCCTGAGTCTGGGGGCCCTGAGTCTGGGGGCCCTGATTGTGGGGGCCCTGAGTGTGGGGGCCCTGAGTGTGGGGACCCTAAGTGTGGGGACCCTGAGTGTGAGGGGCCCTGAGTGTGGGGGCCCTGATTGTCGGGGCCCTGAGTGTGGGGGCCCTGAGTGTGGGAGGCCCTGAGTGTAGGGGCCCTGAGTGTGGGGGCCCTGATTGTGGGGGTCCTGATTGTGGGGACCCTGAGTGTGGGGGCCCTGAGTGTGGGGGCCCTGGGTGTGGGGGCCCTGGGTGTGGGGGCCCCTAAGTGTGGGGGCCCTGAGTGTGGGGGGCCCTGAGTGTGGGGGCCCTGAGTGTGGGGGCCCCTGAGTGTGGGGGCCCTGAGTGTGGGAGGCCCTGAGTGTGGGGGCCCCTGAGTATGGGGGCCCTGAGTGTGGGGCCCCTGAGTGTGGGGGCCCCTGAGTGTGGGGGCCCTGAGTGTGGGGGCCCCTGAGTGTGGGGGGCCCTGTGTGTGGGGGGCCCTGAGTGTGGGGGGCCCTGAGTGTGGGGACCCCTGAGTGTGGGGGGCCCTGAGTGTGGGGATCCCTGAGTGTGGGGGACCCTGAGTGTGGGGGCCCTGAGTGTGGGGGGCCCTGAGTGCGGGGGCCCTGAGTGTGGGGGACCCTGAGAGTGGGGACCTTACCTGTTGATGATTCTGAGGATCAACTTCCCCGCGGCCCGGTCCCTGACCAAATCTCCTGATTGCTGGTCTGATCAACTAGGCTGTTCGATTTGGCTGCTCGCAGCCTGACATACGAGGCACAGCCTGGTTAACCAGGTAACTTTAGAAGGTGATTGTCGAGTTCTATTCTGAACACTGCGAGAAGTCGGCCAGTTATGCCCCGTATGTGTAAGATTCTTCGATGATGATCGAGTTCTTTCTAAGCGTGACTATTGTACCTCTGCTCTACAGTGGGGCAATTTTTGCACATCCTGCCATGCCTTCTGGTCTCGTGTAGTGTTATTTCTGTGTGCAGAATTCGAACCAATCCTTCAAATATTTTACATATGTAAATTAGTATGTATCTTCCGCCTGCGCTCTATGAAGATTTAAAACAGGAACTCTGATTTAACATTACAGGCGGTCCCAATAATTAAGATGTTTTATTGAGTGGATTTTAGCGGTAAAATTGCTGACTCTCCAGGTCACCAATTTCTCTAGCTTTGAATGTGACTCTTAGTGTGTAGCAATATTCCACGCTAGAGAGCACTAGTGTCTTAAAATGTATCATAATTGGCGTGGCATCTCTTGTTTGGGAGGTTCATGTCTTGTTTGGGAGGTTCATGTCTTGTTTGGGAGGTTCTTGTTATCTAACCTGTCGTTTTCCATGCAGTCATGACAGCTATTTTGTTGTGTTCTTTAAAAGTAAGGTCTTCCGACATGATTACTCCTAAATCTTTCGCATTCCTTTCAATAGTGAGGTTTGGCTGTTTTATATGTGGTTTCTACTTCGATGTTTTCGTATTTTCCATAGAGCAGCCATTGGAACTTATCATTTGACATTATGTTATTTTCAGTGGCCCATTGAAAGGCTTGATTAACGTTGGATTGGAGATTTTGCTGTGTCCTCTATGTGTTCTACTCTCATGAAAATTCTGGTGTCATCTGCAAAGGCTGATACTGTACTATAGTTTGTATCCTTATCTGTGTCTAAAATGAGGATGAAGAAAAATGCAGGAGCAAGTACGGCACCTTGGGGAACGAATTGATTCAGATTTTACTTTGTTGACTATGACACTCTGGGTTCTGTTTGTTAGGAAGTTAAGTATCCATCTCCCTACTTAGCCAGTAATATATTTTGTGCACATTGTGTGTGTGCAATAACACCATGTTCACATTTGTCGAAAGCTTTTGCAAAATGTGTGTATATTACATCAGTGTTTTGTTCGTCATCCATGGCGTCTAAGGCCATGTTATAGTGGTCTAGCAGTTGTGAGAGGCTGAGCGCCCTGTTCTGAACCCGTGTTGTCCAGAGTTATGTACACACTGATTCCATGCATTTTGTGATCTTACTTCTTAGCACTCTTTTAAAAAAAAAATTATTATGTGCAATGTTAGAGTTAGTGGTCTATAGTTTTGCATCAGCTTTACTACCTCCTTTGTGTAGTGGCGCGATCTTCCCTGTTTTAAGTATATTATGGATAACACCATTATCTGGGCTCCGTCTGCAAAAGATGTTTAGGGTCTGTGATGTGTGCAACAATATTTTGTGCAATTCTTGATGAATATAGAATTCCACGAGTCTAGGCCTGGTGCAGAGTACAAGGGCTTGATGCCTATGGCTATTTTAAAGTCGAGTCGGGTTAGGGGTAATACCTGATATATGGTTTGATGTTGGTGTCACATTCATAAAGAATTCGTTTCGATTATTGATCTTCAATATGTTCAGGGGCTCACTGAGAACAGAATCGTACTGAAGCCTCAGTATTTCACTCATTTTTGCTGTCATCTGTGAAGGTTTCATCACCCTTGCACAAGGGCCCAATGCTAGATGTAATTTTTGTTCTAGATTTTGCATAGGAGAAAAAGTATTTTGGATTCCTCTATTTTTTTCGCTTATGGTCTTTTGCTCTCTTTGCCTCTGCTGGATTGTATATGATTATTGCAACTTAAGCGTAATCGTTTCCATTTCTCTACATAGCCTTCCTTCTATTTCTCTTGGGAATTTCGTGAGGTCGTATGAGATGTTCGGCAATTTGTTTTCGTCGCCTCTAGAGGGAACGCCGTTATTTATTCCAGTTTTCATCTTTTTCTCTTTCTCCTGAGTGGTATATGACCAGCACATATTGACGACCAGACCACACACTAGAAGGTGAAGGGACGACGACGTTTCGGTCCGTCCTGGACCATTCTCAAGGCGATTGTGAATTCTTACAATTCTCTCAATCGACTTGAGAATGGTCCAGGACGGCCCGAAACGTCGTCGTCCCTTCACCTTCTAGTGTGTGGTCTGGTCATTATACTTTAGCCACGTTATTGTGATTCATCGCCTGCACCAGCACATATTTCTAGTGATTCTGTGCCTATTTTCTCAAGGCACTGGCTTAAGTTTGCATTATCTAACTGTCTTTCCCAGCATATTTCTGCTTAATTTATTTGTTCCCCGTTAATCTGTTACTGAAAATGAATTGGCAGAATTCTCCTCCTTTTGGATTAGAGACGGCTGCACAGGTCTATTGCTCATGCATGTCTGAACTTTAATTAGGCTGGGATCTGAGTAACATGTATTTGTAATCATTATGTCCCCAATCAGTTTATCATTGTAAAAATATTATCTAAAGTGTTTTTTTTTTCCTAGTGGGTTCTACTATTTGCTGGTTTAAGGCAAATCTGTCACGCATGTGGACGAGGCCACCGAGGTATGTGTGACTTGTGTTCAAGAGAGAACTGGATAAGCACCTCCAAAGGATACCTGATCAACCAGACTGTGACTCATACGTCAGGCTGCGAGCAGCCGCGTCCAACAGCCTGGTTGATCAGTCCGGCAACCAGGAGGCCTGGTCGACGACCGGGCCGCGGGGACGCTAAGCCCCGGAAGCACCTCAAGGTAACCTCAAGGGACTGTTCACACATACAGTCTTCCTTCCTGCTTCAGACTACTTTCTGGGATTCTCTGAGGACCATGAGTGCGGTCCTTGAGTGTGGGTGTCTCATCCATTCCTCCTTGACCCTTCTCTTGCAAGCTCTTGGAAGTCACTCCTCTAGGATCTTCGCCCTCATACCGAAGGCCGTGTCCAAACGCTGCTCCTCCCAGCTGACCAGGTAATTGACAGGGACTAGTTACGGTATTTATGTGGTTTCTCCTGGGCTCGAAAAATACTACCGCACTGTTCTTCAGTCGTAACGTAAACAATTCTCCCTCGTCCACCAACAACTGTGGACCGGTGACCCTCTCACTCGCCTACTCACGCTTGGAGTCCCAGTGGTTACTTACGCAGCCGCCTCAGAACGTCAGTGATACCTTACCGGGTGATAGACATGCACGTTGGTATCCCAGATGCAGCGGTATGGCGGCCCGTGGCACTCTGCACCTGCTCCTCACACCAGGAGATCACTTGCTGCTTGAGATGTTTGGAATAACAGCGGTCCCAGACTCACTGCACTCCATCACTGGTCACTTAGAATCTCGGTGGCAGGACTTCACCTTGGAATTCAGGCCTCTCACCTGTAATCCTTGTTGATGATTACCGTTGACCAATAACTTGGCATGGCTTTCGAGAGGATAAAAAGGCTGCGAGGTAACAACCACACAGCTCCTCGGCCCAGCCGCTTGGACAGACACTGGTGGTCCCGGATCACCGACGTTTTCTGAGTTGCAATTTCCTGCAGATTTCGTTGTCTAAAACTCCCCCACAAAGCTTAGATTGGTTCCTCCTTGATTGATTGATGAAGATTACGCAACCCAAGAGGTGGCACGGGCATGAATAGCCCGTAAGGGGTAGATAGCTTGTTTACTAAATGGGTTCCTCCTTAGGTACTCCGTCTTCTTAAACCCAGGCTCTTCGTACTTCAAGAAATACTCTAATTTCTAGGAACTGACCATGACACGTCCTCTCTGTACGACAGTCTAGCATGCAGTGCCGCCCCGGATGGCTGGTCTGCACTCAAGTGACCCCGGTGTATCACGTGATCTGAGCTCACCACCTCATTGGTCAATCCTACTAGCAAGTGTCCAGTCATCTTGCTCTCTTACATCCAGTGGACCCGGCGCCGTCGTCCCTTTCGAATCTTGGCGCGAACCTCTAGACAGCGGCGCTTGGCGCCTATCAAGTTCGATAACTGACTGGGCTTCTTCTTCCCCTGCAGAAACTTAAAACGTAATAAAATCTAAATCCTGGCCCTTGCCTCCTTATAGCATAGTAAAAATATACTAAGTAAGGGAGGCGTGCAACTGGAAGCCACACGTAACATCCCTGAGTGCAGACCCAGTGTGTGTGGCACTCAGACCGTCATTATTGTCCCTGAGTGTGAGGAACTCCTCAGTGTGATCCCTGAGTGTGATACATGAATGTGATCCATGAATGAGGCCCCTGAGGGGTGTGGGCTGTTTAAAATTTGGCTAAGTGCCCTGAGAGGGGACCCCTAAGTTTGGACCATGAAACGGGGACCCCACCTAAGTCTAGATCCTGAGTCTTGACTCAGGAAATGGTACCCTGAATGGACCAATAGGAGGTACCCTATACCCTTTTCCCTACATGCATTGTAGGTGCAGGTGGTGAAGGTGGTGGGGGGTCTCCTTCCCCCCTGCACCAGCCCATCTCTGTACACAAGGCTTCACCAAAAATAAGATCCCCCCCCCCCCAAGCCTCGGGGCTCAGGGGGAGGCTTAGTAAAATATCCAGGATTAATTCCTGGAATTTTAATTTGGCTATTTGGGTCAAAATTACAGTTCCCAGTACTGTACTTGTCGGTTTTAAGAAGCAAAATAGTTATATCAAGTTATGCAATGTAAAGTTATAGAACATGTTTATGTCGTTACAGAACATTTAGTTATAGAACATGTTATATAAAGTTATAGAAAGTATAGTTATAGAACATTTTTATAACAAGTTACATAACATATAGTTATAGAACATGTTGTTATATTAACAATATTAGTTAGTAATGTCAATAAAATAATCTATTAATAAGTAATATTAAGCTAGTAATATCAACATTATAAGCTAGTAATAGTAACAATATAGGCTCGTAATAGTAACAATATAGGCTCGTAATAGTAACAATATAGGCTCGTAATAGTAACAATATAGGCTCGTAATAGTAACAATATAGGCTCGTAATAGTAACAATATAGGCTCGTAATAGTAACAATATAGGCTCGTAATAGTAACAATATAGGCTCGTAATAGTAACAATATAGGCTCGTAATAGTAACAATATAGGCTCGTAATAGTAACAATATAGGCTCGTAATAGTAACAATATAAGCAAGTAGTGTTAACCATATAAGTTAGCAATATTAAAAATACAAGCTAGTAATATCAACGATAAAAGCTAGTAAAACTTAACACTATAAACTTAATATTAGCAATACAAGAATGCTTCGATCCTGTCTAAGTTTGGTTGGCCCGTATATAACTCCTGTTATAAGATTTTTAGCTTTTTCTTTTAATTTTAGCCAAATAGTTTCTGTGTGTGGCTAAATTTTGATTCCCTCTTTGAAACTACATTTCAAATTTTCCCTAACATGTATGGCTACTGCCCCTCCCCCTCGTCTAATATATCTATCTGCGTGAAATAGTTTAAATCCGTTTATTTGATATTCAGCTAATAGTTCTCTATTTTCTACATTCATTCACGTTTCGGTAAGTTCAATAATATCTATTGTTTCTGTGCAAACAAGAGCATTTAAATCGCTTATTTTGTTTCTCAGACTCCTAATGTTAGTGTAATATAAGTTATTAATAAGTATATTGTTATTTTGAAGCCTCAATAAGTGTATTGTTATTTTGAGGCCCTTCTCTTCCCCTGTTCATTTTGCCACTTTTATTCCCCCCACCAACACATACTTTTATTACCTCCCCCTCTCCAATATCAATTCCCATACCACTATCTACTAACAGTTTAAACCCAAACAAACCCCTCCAACCACAGGTTCCAACGAGTTGGCAACAGCAACTAGACAAATGCACGCCATCCTGAGCATACATGTCATTTCTTCCATAAAAGTGTTCCCAGTTATCAGTGAATGATATTGCATTTGATTTATATTTGTTTACTCGAAGACAATGAACGTGAATTCAATATTACGTTTTCTGTGATAAAGAGAGGCAGAGTGAAACAAAGAGAAAGGCGAGGGGGGAAAGAGGGTATGTTGGAGATGAAAGGTGGAAAGAGGAGAGTTAGGGGGAAGAGAGGGGAGGATAGATTAAGAGATTAAATAAATAAAATAAATAAGAAGAGAGTTGGGAGAGGGAACGAGAGATGAGAAAAAAGAGACATGGTAAGAAAGAGAGGAGGGGAGGATAGAGGCCCGGGTGTAGCCAAATACCACCAATAGTTATAAATATAAACTAGTAATATTACCTTTTTTAAGCTAGCAATATTACGTTTTAAGCTAGTAATACTACCATTATAAGTTAGTAATATCAAAATATATACTAATAATATCAAGGTATAATAATATAAACTATTGAAGCTAGTAATATCAGCAATATATGCTAGTAATAACTAATATCAGCAATATAAGCCAGTAAAGAATACACTGACAGACACGGGAGACATTTTCCGTCACACAGGGTGCAGTCGCACCTCCACAGATCTCCAGTATCAGCTCTTGATACTGGTAATGGCTCAAAAGGGCCACCACTTACGGGCTATTTATGCCCGTGCCACCTTTTGGGTGGCTTAATCTTCATCAATCATCAATCACACTTACAGAGATGCAACTATCAGTAAGATAAACACTTGCAGAGATGCAACTATCAGTAAGATAAACACTTGCAGAGATGCAACTATCAGTAAGATAAACACTTACAGAGATGCAACTATCAGTAAGATAAACACTTACAGAGATGCAAATATCAGTAAGATAAACACTTACAGAGATGCAACTATCAGTAAGATAAACACTTACAGAGATGCAACTATCAGTAAGATAAACTCTTACAGAGATGCAACATCCATCTTACATTGCTCCCTCCTTACGACCAAATGATTTGGTTAAATTTTACAGCTTCACCAAATACAAATACAAATATTTATTCAGGTAAAGTACATACATACAAGGTGAAATACAAAAGTTGATGGATTTATAGATAGAGCTAGTACATACAATGCCTAAAGCCACTATTACGCAAAGAGTTTCGGGCAGGAAAAACACTAAAACTAAAACTTAATACAAATTGAGATTAATTAAATCGTTAAATCTTTAACCAGTGTAATCATTGCTATCATCTTATATCATGGTTGTTATATTGAACGCATATTTTACTGCATTATGCCTTGAAATAATCCTCAAATTATGCTACAATATACCTGTTGGTAACCCTCAAATTTTATTTTAATGTACCTACTAATTTTTCTAAAAAATTTTTACAATGTATCTGTTTAAAATAAATTGTTATAAATTACATATTTAAAATTATGTTAGATTAAGGACCTGCCCGAAACGCTATATACTATGCGTATTAGTGGTTTTACAAGAACGTAAAAACATCAATGCTATGTTTTCTCATAAACCCAATGTACCGTCTTGTATATATATAAATAAATAAAATTAAAATAAATTTGGTCTGAGACCTTGTGGGTCTCAGTCCCACAAGGTCTCTGTGCTCTGTGTTCAATAAGGTCTTAATTACTGACCATCTCCTGGATGCACGAACTGAATAATAAATTGATTGATTTTGTAATTATAAATTAATAATTTTGCACATATATTATCCAATACCCACACAGTGGGTAGTATTGGACCCAATGCCCCATCGTGTGGGGGTAATGGTCCCCATTCCCACTCATGGGGGATTGTGGAACCCATCCTGTGAATGGTAGTGGTCCCCCTAAACCTTTCTTGTGGGCGGTAGTGTACCTTACTCTATACGTTTTCTATAATACATAGTGTACGATACATTTTCTTCAACTTGTATAGAGCATAGTCTATTGTATATATTATAATTTTGCACCATTTAAAATAATCATAGATCATAATTGATTGAATAATTATTATAATTTACTGATAACTACCAAGATCTCTCAAAACTAAACTACGCTTTGTGTTATTAATAACAAGCTTAAGTATACACAGTAATGTGTTGCCTATTCTACATGAAAGATTACATAGTGTAGATCAAAAAAATCCATATAAGTTCATATAATAATCCCATCTCACAGGGCGGTCAGTCATACATGGAATCAGGGAAGAAAATACCAGCCTCAATACAAAAACAAATCAACTCTGACTAAAAAACAACTTCAGGATTTTCATAGGACCCAAGCACTGAATCGTGGAAACATTAAATTATAATTTCTCTTACCAGTTTCTACAAGACTCCTCTCAAACAATGTCTTCTTTTTTTTATTAACAAGCTTAGGTATTCACAGCAATGTGCTGCTTCCCTATTCTGTATGAAGGACCACACAGTGTAGATAAAAAATCTACTACAAGCTCATCCAACATCCCCGACTTCACAGGACGGCCAGTCATACATGGAATCAGGAGAGAACATGAATAATGATAATTTTAATAATAATTATAATTTATAATAATTTGTATTTTCAAGAAGGTACATTGGGATTGGTGAGATTGAATAAGACTGGTATTTTTAGTCATACAAATGCATTGAATTAAATAATAATAATAATTTATTTAGGAAAGTACATACATAGTTGCAGAGTTACAGTACAAACATTCTGCTAGATTTAAAGATAGAGGTAGAACATACAATACCTAAAGCCACTAGTACGCATAGCGTTTCGGGCAAGGTGAGGTGGGGGAAAAACACTTAGACTAAAACTTAATAGTAATTGAGCTTAAAGTATAAATTGTGTTGAATGAAAAAAAAATAATAAAATATAAAAAAAAGGGAGGAACATGGTAGAAAATAGCCAATATACAAGTTGGTCAACAAACAGCATTTTTTTTTAAATAGTAAGACATGGGTTGACATTTAGAAGTAAAGTAGGTTACATGGAGTTAATTAGGTAGTACTTAGTTTTCATCTTAAACTGGTTGAGAGAGGTACAATCTTTGACATAATTGGGAAGGTCATTCCACATTCTGGGTCCCTTGATTTGTAGAGCATTCCTAGTTTGATTAAATCTAACTCTTGGAATATCAAATAAGTATTTGTTTCTGGTGTGGTGTTAGTTTAGTTCATTTATTATGCACCCCATACCCATCTTGTGGGTGGTAGTGGAAAGGGTTACAGAGGCACATAATGGGCTCAGGGACTGAACCCCACAATTCATTTAGCTAAGCAAGTTACAATCTTGATGAGCTAGTTACAAAATTCAATATAAGTCGTCACATTAACAATGGGTTCGAGATCGACCACAAGTACAGGTTCTAAATTAAGCAACTGACATATGTGGAGAGCTAGTGTCACAATTGATATGTTTGTCCTGCACACCGCCCTCCATCCAGTGGGCAGCGGTGGATAGGTTACAATCACTGAGTTACTACCTACAGTTAGCAAACTGATGATATTTGGCTAAAATTTCTGGTAGCAGATCATTTTGAATGAAATATTGACACATCGCTGGAACATTGGTTGTAGAATTGTCTCTGAATTCACGTATCTTTTCGCACTCCGTCACACATAGTGACGGAGGGTGTGCGAATAATTTTGTTTACATTTTGTTTACATTTTGTTTACAAATGTAAACAGTTTACATTTGGTCAGGTCTACATAGGCAGATAATGAGAATTCGCAGAGATACTTGTAAGCGAGTCTAAGCCAAGCAGTAGTAACATCTAGAAGTCTGCTGATTTTATTGGATGAACCATAGATGTGTGGCTCCTCTTGCATGATAATATGATGATAGATGGAATTACTGGTGTCGATTTCACTTTGCCTCAGATCTACAATACAATACAATACAATACAATTTTATTTAGGTAAGGTACATACATACAATAAATATTTACAAGGATTGTTTGACTTATAGGTAGAGCTAGTACATACAATGCCTAAAGCCACTATTACGCAAAGCGTTTCGGGCATGATAAACTTAAATGACAAGCTTAATACTAATTGAGCATAATGAGTAGAATGAAAACAAGAAATGAAAACATAGATGAAAAAGCAGCACAAATACAATTATGTCGACAAACAGCGCTCTTTAAAGAAAAAAAACAGACATTGGTTGACAATAGAAGGGTAAGGTAGGTTACAGGGAATTTATTTATTAGGTATAGCTTCGCTTTTAACTTAAACTGGTTGAGAGAGGTACAGTCTTTAACATGGTTGGGAAGGTCATTCCACATTCTGGGCCCCTTGATTTGTAGAGCATTTCTAGTTTGATTAAGTCGTACTCTAGGAATATCAAAACTGTATTTATTTCTGGTGTGATGCTCATGGGTTCTGATACAACCTTCTATGAAGCTTTTGAGATCAGGATTGGCATTATAGTTTAGCGTTTTATATATGTATAATACACATGAGAGAATGTGCAGTGACTTAATGTCTAACATATTCAGAGATTTAAGTAGGGGTACCGAGTGATGTCTGGGGCCAGAATTGGATATTGTCCTAATAGCAGCTTTGTGTTGAGTAATTAGAGGACGTAAGTGATTTTGGGTAGTAGAGCCCCAAGCACAAATACCATAGTTGAGATATGGATAGATAAGGGAGTAATAGAGAGTCACCAGGGCAGGGCGTGGTACATAATATCTGATCTTAGAAAGAATGCCCACAGTTTTTGAAACTTTTTTTGATATGTTTAGAATGTGTCCCTGGAAATTAAGCTTGTGGTTAATGAGAATGCCAAGGAATTTGCCATCTAATTTGTTACAAATTTGGGTATTGTTTATTTTGAGATTTATTTGATTAGAGGATTTATTGCCAAGATACAAGATCTTGTTGAAGTTCTTGATGTACTACTGCTCTCAGATTGCTCGTTGACAATCCAAGGTTACACTCAACGGCTCCTTTAAAGGCAGATTCTTTGGCTAACTTATCAGCTCTATCATGCATTCGGAAGCCATTAGTGGTAGGAATAGGAGTTTGAATTTGGCGGGGATGAAGTGGTTGGTGTTGGGGGCGAGAGAGGCCGCCACCGTCTGTGTTGTGGCCGCCAGTCATCATGTCCGGCACGAGCTATGATCGCGCTATCACAGTCTTCAGCCCCGATGGACACTTATTTCAAGTGGAATACGCCCAGGAGGCCGTGAAGAAGGGCTCGACGGCTGTGAGTATGGGTGACGCGGCGTGGGAGGGCAGCTTGTGGGTACAAATGGACTATGCCGGGCCCGCTTGCTGGGCCTTGCCTTCAATTCCAGCCTCGTCATGTCATCTTCTATAATAATGTGCACACTTCTCAGTTTTGTTGAAATTCATTACATAGGTGTTAAATTAACATCTTAGTATGAAAAATCAATAATTAGACATCTTGTAGGACTTACAAATATTTATTTGATCTTCCCCCCCTAATGCCACTCAACACTAAGCCAATAAATACTATTTGCTCATGATACAATTTTCATTTTCTCCAATGCTTACCCACTTATTCTAAATGACATGGTGAATACTGAACTAAGCCGACTAACTCCTGGGTACATACTTGTTGCTAGGTGAACAGATGCATCAGGTGATAGGAAATGCGCCCAACCATTTCTGTCCTGCTTGGGATTTGAACCCGAAATTCTGGATTGAGAGCGGAGAGTAGACCCGTCTGTACTACCAGGACCTTATTTATTATTTGGTCACAAGTTGAACAATCTAATTAACCAAAGACTTAACACTACCCAAATTCTGAGCAGAATAGATGGGAAGTTCCTTGGTGTTCACATGGCCAACAAACTATATTCCTTTACCATTTACAATGTGACTAAAAAGTTTCTAAAACAATAGGCAGTCTCCATAATGAGATACAAGTATTACATACCTTGACCTGTCATAGTAACTTTGTATTATTCACTCATTTGTCCAAATCTCACCTATGGTATCTCTGCCTGGGGGATCCACCACCCTTAATTACCTCCAACCTCTAATTACTCAACACAAATCGGCAATAAGAACAGTCCAGTCCCAGACACCACTCGGCTCCCTTACTGAAATCTTTGAACATGTTAAATATCAAGTCGCTGCACATCCTCTCAACCATATTCTATATAAAACTCTAAACTGCAGTGGTAATCCTCACCTTAAGTACTTCCTAGAGGGCTGTAATAGAACTCATGGGCACCACACGAGAAACCAATCTGTTATTCCTAGAGTGAGACTCGACCAAAGCAGAAATGCTATGTAAACCAGTGGTCCCAAATTGTGGAATGATCTCTCAAATGTAATTAAAAACTGTCCCCCAACCAGTTTAAGAGAAACTTAAGAAATATTTACTTAATATTGTTTAATTTCACTCACATTTTCCCTCGTAATAAGATATCAGATATCCTTGTTACTGCTATCTTAAATTTTATTTAAAATTTATCCCTCATTCCCATCTAATTATTATTTGTTTTAGTAGCTTTACTAAATTACACCTTTATATTTTCTTTGTTATTAATGTTAAAAATTACTATTGCTAGAACAACAGATTCCATAGTCTATGCCTGTTATCAAGTTCTCAACACATTTTATTCTTTATACTCAATTAGTATTAAGCTTTAGTCATTAATGTTTTCCTGCCCGAAACGCTTTGCGTAATAGTGGCTTTAGGCATTGTATGTACAGTACTAGCTCCATCTATAAATCGATCAATCTTTGTAAAATCTCCTGTATGTATATACCTTACCTGAATAAACATTTATTTATTTTATTTATAAGTATCACCTTTAAATTGTATATCATTTATTATATTTCTTAAACATTCCCACTTATGTTAGCTTAATATACAGTACAGCACTTCCCGTTTTAGTATTAAAGGTTTACCCCTTTACACCATTAAATAATTGTTTATCAAAATTATTCTAAGTTACTATTATTCAAACAATTTAGGGTAGGACAAAAACTTGAAAAGAAAAGCAACACTAGAGACTTTATACCCTCACCACTTTCCTCCTAGCCTTGATGCTCATAGCTCATTACTCAGTCCTGCTCACAGTTATTATACACCCCTCTAAAAATTGTAGTCTACACATCCTTCTCTTGTCTTATTTTGGTGACCCTTTCATAGAATTAAATCGAGTTTGTGGAGCATGATTTTTCCCCTCTCAGAAGCCATGTTGTGCCTCTTAGAAAATTGACTCTCCACAAGTTCTACGATCACCTTTGTTTTAATTATATTATAGTACAGTATATGATATCCATGTTATGGTCAGGAGTTGTGCTTTTTACTCCTTTACAGACTATCATTACTCTCTCCTCTCTTCAATAATCTTGAATGGAATGCATATTGTAGACACTATCTGTAGTTTAGTGTTTCATAAGTCTTCCCTTTCATGAATACAGTATTGGAAGTACATTTGCCTTTTTCCATTTTCCTGGTAGCTCTTCCATCTCTAGTGTAATGTTGAGCATTATAGTTAACGGGTAACTCAAGATCCTTACAGCATCCTTCAGTAGCCATGGTGATCTCTGGTCTGGTCGTACTTCTTTAAAATGGCAGGATCATACCTTTTCATTACTGTACTGTATTAATAATTTATTAATATCACAATGGAGATATGGGGTATTTATGCTTATTGATTTTGATATTCTTACTCTAGTACAGTATTTGGTTAGATGGTTCATGTGTTTGCTGTTTCACTGTAGTTTACACAAGGTAGAGAATAACTATATTTACCATAATTGACAAAAAGATTAAGTGATGATAGCAGAATTCTTTTCATAGGTCTAGGTTAGCTCCATTATATCCACATAGACGTATTATAACCATATTTACATCATTTGTATAAAACTGGTTGATAATAACTTAAAGTAACATATGATATTAGCATGGGGTCAATGTGTGACAATAACCACATGCTAAGTGTATCAGTTAATTACTTTTGATAAGTGAGTAAGGTATGCATGTAATAATTCAAATTTTAAGCATGTCTACAGTACATACTAAACTTGTGGTCATTTAGGTCCAGGAATATAAGGAAGGTCATAAGGAATTGTTTGGATTTAATGTCAACTCAACACTTCATAGTATTTTGTATTAGTTAATTTTCTTTTTGTAGGTGGGCGTGAAGGGCAATGATGTCGTGGTACTGTGTGTTGAAAAGAAGTCCGTCCCGAAGTTACAAGAAGAGCGGACTGTAAGAAAGATTTGTCTCCTTGATGACCATGTACTCATGGCCTTTGCAGGTGTGATATGGAATAAATTTTAAAATTTTGTAGTTATTATTTTAAACTGGTGTAAGTTTAAAAAAATTTATATCGTCCCATTTTTGTTGTAGATCTATTGTAATTTGTGTGTTCATCTCCAGACATGGATACAGTGAAATCAAGATTTCTCAACTAGTAAATTAAGGTTCATTAAAACTGCTGCCAAACATTGATGTTATTTTCCCCTCCAGGACTGACTGCTGATGCTCGCATCTTAGTAAATAAAGCTCGTATAGAGTGCCAGTCTCACAAACTTACAGTGGAAGATCCTGTCACTTTAGAATACATCACCAGGTAGGTTACAGATAGAAAGTGAATAATAAGGTTGATAAGTTGTTAAATGCAATCCCACCATACTCTAAATTTTTAGAAGCAAAGGTCCTATTTCACTGCAATACTGTACTATATAAACGGAATTTTTTACTCCAGCAAGTCTAGTAATTCATGTTCAATTTTGTAACACTTTAGTAACCATGTAGATGATTTAAAATTATTTTCTAAATAAGGGAGCATTGTAATATTAATTGTTTTATATATATTTACAGTGGTGCAGTGCTATATATTGTTGTTAATATTGTTTAGTAGTGTGAGTGATTTAATAAATGGAAGAGTACTATTTAGACACCCAACCCCTTCACGTGAAAATGAAGGTGGTTCGTCCTGAACCATCAAGTCGGATAAAAATAACCAGTCATCAGAACAGACTGAAAATGTTGTCACTTACAGTGACAGGCCACTACGAGGTCATTACGAGTGGCCTCGTAGCCTGGTGGATAGCGCGCAGGACTCGTAATTCTGTGGCGCGGGTTCGATTCCCGCACGAGGCAGAAACAAATGGGCAAAGTTTCTTTCACCCTGAATGCCCCTGTTACCTAGCAGTAAATAGGTACCTGGGAGTTAGTCAGCTGTCACGGGCTGCTTCCTGGGGGGGGAGGCCTGGTCGAGGACCGGGCCGCGGGGACACTAAAGCCCCGAAATCATCTCAAGATAACCTCAAGATAACTACTTTATTTTCCGATGTGTGGGTTGGGTGTCTTAGTTTTCTGCCACATTATTGTGACTTATTATCTGAGTACTATCTGTTAACTAATATTCCTCTGGGTCATTTGACCTTTGATAGAATCTTGATAAATCCAATACTTTTTATATTGCCTGCCCTGTGTCCAATTTTCTCGTATTGGCATCTTGAGTGATAATTAACACCTTTTGAATGGCTACATAGTCTTCCTGGCTTGGCATCATCTTTTGATAATTTCTTACTTCTTCAGTGAGTCACCAGTACAGTACAAGCCTTGATCAGCTTAACACTTTGGCGTACCCCGCGCGCCACCCCTCAACTGTGCGATATGGGACCCAGGGTGACACGGGAGCGCGCGTAAATTCTGAAGTGTATACTCTCCAACTTTGTCACCTTAATTCTCGTCCTACGAGATTAAATTTTGTATCATTGTGTTCGCAATAGAATTCTCTACAGCACTAAATGCATATAAACTCCAAAAGCCCGGCTAATTACCCGCAGCAAACAGAGAAAGTGCGAACGAGTTACCCAGGAGCGCGCAAACGCGATAAAATGTTTTCACTATTTTCACTCTGGTCATCTCAATTTTCGTCCTAGGTCTTTCCTTTTGGTCTCAATGGGTTCGCAATTGAATTCTCTAGAGGAACATTAGCATATAAAATAAAAAACCTGGTCACGCTCCAACCGCCGACGAGTTGAAGACGGGCCATGCGTTAGCCGCAAGTGAGCGCTCAGACGCCTTCCAGCTACACTGCCAATTCCCGCCCTTTTCAAGCCTTTCTTTCGCAATTTTCTTTCTGGAAGGGCCTTGTTCATGATCACTATTCATCGTGGAGTAAGCGTAGATAGTTTCTAAAGCCATAGTAAGAAAGTAAGAAATATAGCCACGGAAAATAGCCGAAATGTACACACGTTTGAGATGCGAGGGGAGGCAACATTGGTTACAACAGTGGAGCGAAAACAATGGGCCCACGGCGTGCCAAGCCGCCTGAGGGCCACAAGGCTCAACAAAGAAAATGGGAAGACATCGGCGCGCATTTTAAAACCAGTCCCAAAAAAATCGGATAAAAACCTGATTTTTGGCGATTATTTAAAGTGGATGACGCAATGCTGCGTCATCCCCGGTATTACCGACAGTAAACGGATGATGCAATGCTGCGTCATGCCCGGGCGAAAGTGTTAATATGTTTTCACTCAACCAATTAAAAGGGTGTATCAAATTTTGATGTTCTTTGATAAATTCAGGGATACAACCGAGATAATTTTCCAGAAGCTGCAATGCAGATTTGCTGGGTCATCCATTTCCATGGGGGTGAATCCCATGCAGTTAGGTGGCTTAACTGGGAAACACTCAGAATGCCTTCAATATCGGTAACATTTACCTGGTGAGAAACTGAGCAGGTGTTTAGAACATTTGCTTGTCAGGAAAGTGTTAACACAGAAAGGTACTGCAATTTAATATTTATACTCTTTATTTCAGATTCATTGCCACCTTAAAGCAGCGTTACACACAAAGCAATGGACGTCGTCCATTTGGTACCTCTTGTTTAATTACTGGCTTTGATATGGATGGAACTCCTCATCTTTACTTAACAGATCCCTCAGGCACTTACACCGAATGGATGGTATGTAAGCTGAATATTTATCTACATAAATTTATAGATGCCTAACTTTACCTCTTGCATCTGCCTCATTTTCTAATCACAGTTATCTCCACTTAGTTGAAAATTTAGGATTTTAAATTTTTTGGCCATTGTATGTTTGCATTCTTGATTATCTCATGTACTGTACCTGTATGTAGGCGATGAGTCACAATAACGTGGCTGAAGAATGTTGACCAGACCACACACTAAAAGGTGAAGGGACGATGACGTTTTGGTCCGTCTGGTCTGGTCAACAAAATACTGTACCTGTATTTGTATAGGTAGATTATATGGCAATGTGAATTTTTCACAATTTTAAAATTAATTTATTATTAGACATGGTTAATAACATTATTTATGATTATCTAAACTACTTTTTTGGATTTAGTGATGCTGAAAAGTTGCCTGTTATTTCTATCAGCATCCAAGGCTGAAGAATCTGTCTTTAATTAATATTAATAAATATTAAAATTGAATATATAAATACATAAATAGGAACATTTTTCCTTATCAATTGATTTTTTTCCTTCTAGGCTAATGCTACTGGTAGAAGTGCCAAGACTGTACGTGAGTTCTTAGAGAAGCATTACACTGAAGATGCTGTATCTACAGAGGAAGGAGCCATTAAGCTAGTGGTACGAGCCCTTCTTGAAGTGGTTCAATCAGGAGCCAAGAATGTTGAAGTGGCCATTATGAAAGCAAATGAACCAATGAGGGTGAGTTTTGTTTGTAATTACCTAAGTGTATGTACAGGATAAGAGTTACACTATACCAACATAGATGGAGTGAGAGAAAAAATACTGGAGCTAAAAGAAATAATTCAGCTTAAGGTCCCAGATATTGTTGCACTAACAGATAAGAAACTTGAAGAAAATATTTTAAGTGAGGTATTCCCAAGGGACTACTCAGTTTTGGAAACATGACAGGAAAACTAGAAAGGGGGAATGGAAAGGGGCTGGTGAAAAAACACCTGAAGGTAAGTGTGTTGTGAACAATAATCGACAACCCATGAGAAGTTGACATAATGGCATTGCAGTTTTGGAATCAGGATGATAACTGATAATCATAAATGCCTACAGCCCACCAGCAAGTAAGCCATGGACAAAGGATGAACTAGATGACAAACGAGAGGGTCTCATAATGGTCATGAGAGAGAGTATGGTAAAAGCAGATAAAGATAAATCATGATTGTTGGTATTGAGGGACTAACTTGAAAGCAATAGACTGGGAGGCCTACAAGGCAAGACTGGAGGACATTTGGACAGGCAGATTTGTTAATTTAGAAGAGAATGGAGACATTGAAACAGTTGATAAACTCGATTTCAAGAGAGGACACTATGGGGAACTTGGCAAATTCTTTAATGAATTTAATTCGAAAGAATTGTTGCTAGGCAAGGAAGTAAATAAGATGCATAACAAATTTATGAAATATATGGTGAAAGCACAAACAAAGTTATACCAAAACATAGATGCAGGACCAGAAAACAGGTTTGGTTCAACAGAAATTGTGAGAGGGGCAGAGAGGAAAGAGAAGAAAATGGGTTCAATATTGGAAGAGGCCTAACCCCTCAAACTTTCCAGCACTACAAAGAAGCAAGAAACAAATACTCAGTAGTGAGGAGCGAGGCAGAAAAGTTTGAGAAAGGGGTGGCAGACAAATGTAAAACAGATCCAGGCCTTTAATATAAATTCATTAAAAGCAAGTTGCATGTAAAGGATAAAATCAGAGATTGAGAATGCAAAAGAAATGTGTGAAACACTAAATGATAAGTTCCAAAGTGTGTGTGTGTGCAAAATGGGGTTTTCAGAGACCCAGATACAATGCCAATTCCAGAGGATGACATAGAATACTGAGAGGTATTTCAAGATGTAGTGGAAAAATTACTCAGGGCTAGGACAAAATAAAGCATTTGAACTAAATGGAGTTTCACCTTGGGTGCTGCGAGAATTGCAACCAAGATGAGCATTACATTCCAGACTTACTTGTGCACAGCAAACTTAGCAGATGTATGGAAAAAGGCAAACATAGTTCATCTATAAAAATGGAAGCAGAGAAGACCCTCTAAATTATGGACCCGTATCATTAACAAGCGTGGTAGTCAAAACACTAGAAAAATAGTAAAGCTAAATGGATATAACACCTGGAGAGTAATGACATAACAACACAGACAGTATGGTTTTGAAGAGGAAGATCCAATGTAACAAATCTACTTAGTTTTTATGATAGAGCCAAAGAGATTTTACAGGAAAGAGATAGATGGTTGGGTTGGCTGTGTGTATCTTGACCTAAAAAAAGGCTTTTGACAATACTACACGAGGTTGTTTTGGAAATTGGAACATGTTGGAGGAGGTGACTTCTGACATGGATGAAAATTTTTCTGACAGATGAGGGCAGTAATCAGAGAAAATGTATTTGACTGGAGGAGTGTTACTAGTGGAGTACCACAGGGTTCAGTTCTTACGTCAATAATGTTCATCGTCTACATAAATGATCTACTAGAAGGAATACAAAATTATATATAACATGTTTGTAAATTATGCTAAAAAACTGGGGAAGATAGGAGATGATAGTCTTTCCCTTCAAATTGATCTAGATAAAATAAGTGCTTGGAGTGCCATGTGACAAGGCATTCAATGTGAATAAATGCCATGTTATAGAATGTAGAATTAGAGAAAGTAGACCACACACAACTTAAAATTGTGGAAAGGAATTAAAAAAAAAACTAACAAACAACGAGATCTAGGGGTGGTTCTGGATGTCACCAGAGAAACATGCAAAGAACATTGTGCAAGGAGCATATGCTGTTCTTTCCAACTTCAGAATTGCTTTTAATTATGTGTTAGGTTAAATACTAAAGAAACTTTATGATTGTTGTGAAACCAAAATTGGAACATGCAAAAGTTGTATGGTGCCCATATCTCAAGAAGCACATCAGTAAATAGGAAAAGGTGCAAAGGCATGCTAAAGAATTCTTCAGAAACTAAAAAGCATGAGTTACAAAGAGAGGCTAGAGGCATTAAATATGCCAAAGCTGGAAGATAGAAGGAAGCGGTGATGTCACCGCTCATCACACAAATAACAGGAATCGACCAAATTAACAAAGGAATTCCTGAAACCAGCAACCTCAAGAACAGGGGGTCACAGATTCAAGCTCAGGAAACAAAGGTGCTAAAAAAATTTAAAGTTTTCTTTTGCAAACAGTTTGAAATATTTTCACATTATTCATCACATTTAAATTTCTTTATTTACTCACCCGCATGCACCCAGAGTGTAAGCGAGCAACACAGGTGTACCACCCACTTTCGGCTACCTCATGGTGATCTGGTAAACCCTCCTGCTATAGATAGGCCTTAAGCCAAACCAACCTCATTGTAATACAGTATGTCCTTGGGTAAACAGAGCTAAGAACAGCTCTTGTTTCCTAATACTGTAAATATTTTGTTAAATCAATTTAAAGGGAAATGCAGTTTACAATTTTAGGAGTTACGGAATACATTAGATGTCAATGTCAACTTGCCTTTAGAGGACAGTTAAGAGTTTAAAGAGCTCAGTTAAAGGGGAAAACCCATCTTTTGTCTCCCCCACCACTTTGCTATCAGAAGTGATAAAATAATTTCCTAAATGCATAAATTTTTAATACCATTGAAAAAATCATGAAGAATAGGACTTTAGAAATAAACAATGAAGTTCCTCATACAAAAGTCACATTTGTACCATTAGTAGTTTAATATTCGAACATTAAATGTGGTAAATTAAGAGTGTGGTATAATTTCAGATGCTGGATGTAGGCAGTCTCGAAAAGATTGTAGCAGAAATTGAAAAGGAGAAAGAGGAGGAAGCAGAGAAAAAGAAACAAAAGAAGTAGAATTTTGTTTAGTGCTTCATTCAATTAATTTTAAAATACTTTTGTCATGCATCTCTTCAACTTTGTTTTTCATATTTAAGTGGAACTTAAGAGTGTATTTTTTTCATTTTCCAGTAAAGGAACAAAATAGCTTTATTTCATTAATCCTGTTTCAGCACTAGAAAATGTTACATGTTTTAAGGTTGGTTGCAAACAAGATTTTGTTTATAGTAACAGCTGAAGTCAGTTGTATTTGGGGTAGGAGGGCTCAGCATCATGCCCCATTCAGCAACTTTGCTTTGTTTTGGCAAGGGGGCTTATCTCGTGAGTGCCCATAGTAGGAAAGCAACATGTAAAGGATCTGGGAATAATGTCTGATGTCCTAATGTTTAGGGAGCATAACCAAGCATATATAGCCTCAGCCAGAAAAAAATTAGGTTGGATTATGAGAACCTTCAAATCCAGGGATCCCATCACAATGGTCATTCTATTCAAACCACTTGTGCTGTCCCATCTTGAGTACTGTTCGATACTCACTCACCCCTTCAGAGCAGGAGAGATTGCTGAACAGAAGGTATAGAGAACACACAGCATACAGACGTGATAAAGCACCTAAACTATTGGGAGTGTCTCAAAGCTCTCCAAATGTACTCTAGAAAGGAGACTAAAGGGGTATCAAATAATATACCTCATTATGTATGGATGCTAGAGGAATCACAGATACGTGGATCCTAGAGGAATCATAGGTAATAGCACTAGAGATGTGGAAGTGGAAGGCCCACAATTCCAAAATTAGGTCCTGTATGCCCCAATTATGTTAGGTTGCAAGTTGGCCACTCTACATTCAGGTTACCCAATTATCACAGCACTCTGTTTCTGCACATTATCATGGATGCACTCGTCTGACAGATTTTGCATTCATTTTCTGCCAAAGGCACGTCTCTTCCCAGCTTCTGTCCGAGTGAGCTAAGCTGGACTGTGTTTCAAGTCTATCTGCAGCACCTGCAGCTCTGCTGATGTTGTTAACTGACCTTTTAAGATAAAGTTGTTGACTTTCACCGTGTATCTTGCATGTGGGTACACAGCATTGGGTCAGTTCTCAAGAACTGAGTTGAGTCAGTGTTGCAGTTCTATTCCTTCCCATTCTTTTTCCTGACAAGGAAATTCGGTGGGTGTTGCATCAGTTAGGTATTTGGCGAACTTGTTGCATGATGGTTTTAACACTTTCGCACTTCAAATGCCCCTGGCGTCTAATTTTTTTCTTCAGAGTCAGTCGGTGATGCCAGTGGCGTCCGATTATTAAAATATTTGTTAAAAATTTAAATTTTAACCAATAGATCTGGGAGTGGGTTTAAAATGATCGCCTTTAAAGTGCACACAATTTGATACCCAAAGGAAAAATGTAACCCAAAAATTGTCAGAATGCTGGAAAGATTATAAATACATTTTGCATCCAATAATTAAAATATTTGTTAAAATTCCATTTATTGTGCTATTATTATGGGACTAGTTTTAAAATGCGCACCTTTAGATTGTGAACAATTTGATACCAAAATGAAAGATGTAACACGAAAATTGATGTCAGAACACTGGAAAGATATAAATAGTTTGTGATGTGCATCCAAAGTTTAAAATATTTGTTAAAATTCCATTTATTGCTCTATTTTTTCTAGTGCTTTTCGTTCAACTCCTGCTCTCAGCTTGCATGCTGACACTGGATTCCTGTCTCTCCAGGACCGCCGTGATCGCTAGTCTTCGTTATCTTTCGCGATCCTTCCAGCATCCTCACTCCACCTCTATCGTGCTTTGACTTTTACCCCTCCTGTAGTTCCTGTTCCTCTTCACCACCTCACTCTTTCTGTCCGTTTGACTCGCTTACAAGATTCTCTTTCGGTTCATATTTCCAATGTTTCTCCTCATATTGTTCCATCCCTGCCCCCGTGGAGGGTCCCCCTTCCCAAATTTTGTACTTCTCTGACCCGCATTACTAAAGCTTTTACCCCTCCTACTGTTCTGAAATGCCTCTTCCTTGAGTACTTTTCTTCTCACTCCCACTCCATTCTCATCTTCACCTATGGGTCTAAGTCTGCTGACGGTGTGGGCTACTCTGTTGTTTTTCCTGACCACACTTATATGTGTCGCCTTTCTCTGGAGGCTAGCATTTTCACAGCAGAACTTTATGCTATTCTCTATGCTCTTCGTCTCCTGCTTTCCCAGTGTCAATCCTCCTTTGTGTTGGTAGTTGACTCTCTTAGTGCCCTCATGACTTTAGGGTCCTTTAATCCGGTCCATCCGGTGGTCATCGAGATTCAACATTGGCTGTTTCTTATCTCCAGTAAATTTAAGTTGAGTTTTGCTGGGTTCCCAGCCATGTTGGTGTGTCTTTAAATGAGCGTGCGGATGTTGCCGCTAAGGAAGCTATCCGCACTTGTCCCATCTCCCGTAAAGGTATTCCTTATTCTGACTTTTACCCAGTTATTAATGCCTCCATCCTTGCCTGCTGGCAGAGTTGTTGGTCTTCTGTTATTGGTAACAAACTGTGTACTCTTAAAGAGTCGTGTGTTCCAGTGGCCTTCTTGAGGTTATCTTGAGATGATTTCGGGGCTTTTAGTGTCCCCGCGGCCCGGTCCTCGACCAGGCCTCCACCCCCAGGAAGCAGCCCGTGACAGCTGACTAACACCCAGGTACCTATTTTACTGCTAGGTAACAGGGGCATAGGGTGAAAGAAACTCTGCCCATTGTTTCTTGCCGGCACCTGGGATTGAACCCAGGACCACAGGATCAAAAGTCCAGCGTGCTGTCCGCTCGGCCTTCCTCCTACCACTGTAACCAGAGGTGGGAAAAGGCTCTGGCTAGGTTGCGTATTGGCCATACCCGTTTAACTCACGGTCACTTAATGGAGCGCCGCCCTGCTCCTTATTGTTCAAATTGCATTGTCCCTCTTACAGTCGTGCATATCGTTGTTGAATGTCCTGACTTCCAGGACGAGCGTGTGTCTTGTTTTCCGACTGTCCCCCGCAGTCGCTTGTCCCTCGATAGAATTCTTGGCGACTCGAATACTTTTGATATCGTTCGCCTTATGCGTTTCTGTTCTCGTATTGGCACCTTGGTGATATTTAGCGCCCTCTGATTATCCCGCACATTTGATGGTGCTACATAGGCTTCCTGGTTTGGTGCCATCTTTTGATAATTACTTTCTTGCACAAAATACTATGCATAGTTTGAACTTTGCAATCAATACTGCTTACAATCATTTCCCAACTTTCTACCCATTTATTATAGTAAATAAAAGTAATAATATTTGTAAAAATTTAATTAATACACATTAATACTTACATAATACATAAAATTATTACATATGCAATAAATACTGTATATAAACCTAATATATATACACATGACAGTACTATACTGTACTTGTATAACATGTAAACAAGTTATTATGCCAATTCAAATATATAAACACCTTATATACACATCTTTAAAAAGACTTCTTCAGTTCAAGTATACATAGTAAAAAGATTTAAACAACATGTATTGATGCATGGAGCTTAGCCACTGTGAGCAGCAAGTAGGTGTTGAGGTATATATAAGGACAGTGTCTTCATTGATACAGACATCTTTCGTGCTACTTCCTGCAGTACTGCTAAGCCCGTCACAATCTCGTGCGAAAGATCTGCAGTCTTTCCAGCACTGTTAGAACAGAAACATTAAATAAAATGTATACAAGCAGACAATGAGTTACTGTAAATATTGCTTTTTATTACAGCACACAGGGAAAAGTTCTTTTTTCAATTTTAATGAAGTTAAAATATACATACAGTACAATGAAACAAAATGAACTGATTTCTAAATCTACACATTATTATAGTTAATTAGGGTTTCTGGCATGGAATATGTATCAATTTGTTTTTTCAACCAGTGTGTTAGCTTAAAAGCAGGGACAAAACCTAATTATTACTATACTATGCAAGGTTATGGGTTAGTTCATTAACAAATTAAATTATTGGCCAAAAGTTAAATTTTGCTTACATGATTTGTAACAACACTGACCTGTACCAAAAGTGCAACAACTATTCTTGGTATACAAGTGCCTCAAAGACAATATTACAATTGACACTACTAAGATACACAGCACTGCCACTACTCTGATCTATGAGTGGTGGGGGGGGGGGGGGGGGTGTTACAGTTTTAAGTGAACCTAACTCCCTTTTTACCTAATGTTCCAATTCCACTGGATTTATTTGAGAGAATGAAATTATTACAAATCTCCCATGTTCTGTATCTTATACCATCAGCTCTTAAAATCATTTAAAATTGGGCATCCATTAATATACTGGTACTGTAATCTTAAAGTGTGATTCTTAGCTCTTCACAAATTTTACAATGGGAGTCCTTTGAGTTGGAGATCCATTCCCTGCAGTTATCTGCCATAAGTAGCAATATTAGAGGGTCCCAGTAGCCACTCGGGTTTGTTCTTGACTCTCAATTGAGAATCCCAGGCGGGACAAATGGTTGCATGCATTTCCTATCACCTAATTACCGTGTTCACCTAGCAGCAAGGTGGGGGGTGGGGAGGAGGGCCTGCATGTCCCCTGACAATAAATTAATATTTAGCCCATCCTCATAAAAAAAGACCAAAATCCATTCCATGCACACGCCAAACCCTGTTTTCATAAACGGTTTACACACTACTCGCAACTGGTTACATCCGAACACTTCCGGAACAAGTGCTTCGCTGATGACTTTTGTTTGAACCACAATGCTGTAAATGCTTCACCTACGTACTACAACTACAAATAATCGCCAACATACCCTAAACACCTCACCTAACCTAACCAATGCCTAAAAATGCACAGTATGCTAATACATAACAATATTTATATTTGAGAAAATTCCTATTTTGAATGAACAGAATGTTAAAGCTGATGAATGCATCTTTGTGGTCGACCGCTGGATGGAAGGAACTTGGTCTGAGGATGGGTCGTATTATTATTACCCTAACTAAATTCTTGATGCCCTGAGGTGTCCATACACATGGTTTGCCATTGCAAATAGATCACAACTCTTAATATTAGTGCTCCTTGCACCGAGTGTTTGTAATGAACATAATCAAACACTTACCTTGCAGCAATATGAGCTGTATTAGAAGTTATGTATTGCGCTAAGAGTTGGATGAATCTCAATGTGTTGTCCTGGTGGAACTGACGAAGCACTGTCACTAGGCCAACTATGAGAAGTTCACCATCTACACCCTCTGTTCCTCTAATGCCAACTAATCCTCCTGATATGTAATGAATATGATTTGGTAATAAAATCGATTCTAATAAGTATCAGCAATGTCTTGTCACAGACATAATAACATAGGATAAAAACCCACACCTGTGTATTTATGAAATTTATGTAAAGAATTTACACTCAAGTCATTCACACTTTCCTGAGTGTTTTGTCAAGATCTGAGTGGTTAGGACGAGATTTACATCTCAACGTCTAATCAGATTATACGTTCAGATGCATGTCTCATCCTATCCACATACTCGGACGTTGACAAAGCACTCAGGAGAGTGTGAAAGACTGTAAATTCCTTAAATAAATTTCACAAATACACGAGCATGGGTTTTTGTTCTATATTGATTCTAATGCCATTATTGACTTGATTTATTCATATCCATTTAAAATGAATTTATCCACAAAAGAATAAATATAGCAAATATGATAGTTTTAGTGGTCAGGATCACCTGTTATTACAATTACAAATAAATCCCCACCAACTTACCTAATGACCTGGCATATTGAATTTTTGGAATTTGAGTAACCACAGTAAGGAGGAGAATAGAACTGAGTGGCGGCAAGGCACGTGTGGTGATATAGATCCTCTCCAAGGGCTGAGTCATTCCACACCACTCGAGGAAAACACTCAACTCACTCGTAAGAGCACCATCATCATCAGGATATGGGCGAGTGGGATCAGCATAGTGCTGCTTCACATCTGTCATGAGCGATCTGTTGACATTAAAAATATCACAATAGTAGCACTAATCAACAACACAAATTGAACTTTTTATTATAAGAACCTGCTCTTTTAATAAACCTATTACTGATTGCATCTTTGGTATCATGCAGCACCCCCGATAATTATACTGTATATATATTCTAACTGTATTGTATACATGATTTCTTACTTCACCATGCCTCTGATAAAAAGTTATTAAAGGTTGCTTTGTAAACACTGATGCATGACATTTTATTCAGTTATGATTAAAATTATGGCAGGCATGTGAGGAAGGAACACATGTGACGTAAAAAATAATGAATAGCCACAATAAAAATCCAGACAGCATCATACATGGAAACATTATGCACTAGCGCAAAAGGGATCTTTTCAAAATTTCCCTACTGGATCAAAGGGTAAAGCTGCAGGTTTCAGATACTGACGACTCCCATAATTTTTTATAGCATCTGCACCAGAGCATAGAATGAAACCACAAAAATGTCTGCCTCCCTCCCTTACCTGCCTGCTTCCCTCCCTCCCTACTTGTCCACCCACCCTGCCTGCTCACCTGCCTCCCTCACTGGTTGTGAGAGTTGTGGCAAGTGTTAGACCGGGTGTTTCACTTGTTTATCTCTCAGTGGTAAAGGTTCACATTTTATATTCGGCGGACAAATCGATCCCTGGTTTTGGAGACTTTTTAGGCTTCAAATGTCGACTTATACGCCGGCATTTACGGTAATCTTGATCACACTCAGAATCATCTAAGTCATTTACAAGCTTATATGGAACTCTATTTTAATTAATTTCATCATCTGTTAAGTCAAAATATTGACATAGTTGCATGACTAGGTTGGGAGCTTGAACCACACTTAAGGTTGTTCTCTATATTACTGGCTTGTATCCAAGGCCATGTACTATATTTTTTCCCATGATGGTATGTGTTTACTGGAGGCCTGACGAAGTGGATGCGAGCACCATACCTTGAGGTTACCTTGAGGTGGTTTTGGGGCTTAGCGTCCCCACGGCCCGGTTCTCGACCAGGCCTCCTCATTGCTGGACTGGTCAACCTGGCTGATGGACGTGGTTGCTCGCAGCCTGATGTATGAATCACAGCTTGGTTGATCAGGTATCCTTTGGAGGTGCTCATCAAGTTCTCTCTTGAACACTGCGAGGGGTTGGCTAGTTATGCCCCTTATGTGTAGTGGAAGAGTGTTGAACAGTCTCGGGCCTCTGATTTTGATAGAGTTCTCTCTCAGAGTACCTATTGCACCTCTGCTTTTTCAACAGGGGTATTCTGCACATCCTGCCATGCCTTCTGGACTCGTGTGGTGTTATTTCTGTGTGCAGGTTTGGGACCAGCCTCTATACTATTTTCCACAAATAAATTATTACAGTATGTATCTCTCCTACCTGCTCTCAAAATAATACAGATTTAGGCATTTTAGTCGGTCCCAATAGTTTAGATGTTTTACTGAGTGGATTCTAGCAGTAAAGGATCTCTGCTTGCTCTCCAGGTCAGCAAATTCTCCAGCCTGGAAAGGGGCTGTCATTGTGCAGCAGTATTCCACTCTAAGAAAGCACTAGCATCTTGAAAAAGTATCGTCATCGGTATAGCATCTCTTGAAAGTTTTTTTTTAATCCAACCTGTCATTTTTCTTGCAGTTGTGACTGCTACTGTATTGTGTTCTTTAAAGGTAAGGTCTTCTGACATAAGTACACCCAAATCCTTTACATTGCCTTTTCATTCTATGTTATGATTTGACCATGTACCCATGGAAGTTTCAAATATTGCACAGTATGCATTAGTATCTCAGGATGTGATGTGCACCATGGGACAAGCATCACGGAAAATGACGTGTAGTGCAAGGGTTAATCATTTTGGGTGTGTGGGTTCGTTGGTATAGATACGAGAGTCAGGACCATCAATGGCTAGTATACAGACAACCTATGATTTACATGGACATTGTATTTCAGGTAAAACCTGCAAATATAACATTTTTCTCTTAACTCAAATTTAAACACCTCTATCATTAATATTTAATGCTCCCTTCCCTTTTCCAACCACAAATACAGTACATAATAATGTCCAGAATGTTTGGCATGTGCAATGATGCTTAAATACAATATAACCCAAAATGTTAGTATGACAAGAATCTAGTCCAATACACTGCAGAGAATGCAGTAGACCCAAGGATAAGCACAGGTAATCCATGTTACCCAAGTGTTAATCCACCTTTAACTCGTGTATTACCAAAACTGACAAAAGCAGTTGGAAATCATGGATATAGGTGCTTATCCTTGTACAACAGTACATCCATGCTATAATACTGTACCACAGTTCTCGCAAGTCAATAAATATTTTTCAGTTTGAAATGAAAATATATTTAATTTTTCTTGCAAGTTTCATAGTACAGTACATATAACAGAAGAAAAATAATAAAATTTATGACAGGAATACTGATTCAAATTAATGCAAATCAACAAAACTTACTCATTCATGGTGCTAAGAGCAGCAGCAAGATATTTTGCATCAAATTTACATGATGCATTGAGGCGATTTGCTGCATGAAGTCTCAAGATCTGCATCTGACCAACCCGCATAATTCGGTCAAGCATAGAAGCAGACAGCTTACTAGTACGTTGAATCCATCCAGCATACTGCCGCATCGGCTGAACTATCGATGGAATAGATCTCATTCATCCGCACTCCAGCATCAATGAGAAACAATATACACACCACAACATTACAGATTTTGAATTTCAATCCAAAAGATATAAAAAATAAGAAAAAAATCCATGTCCCTTTCCACTGGTTTCTAAAAGTTTGCACCAGGATAGTACAGGTACTGCTTTGTGTCTACCTTCAACCGATTATCTGAGGATCAAGGCTCTCCATAAGATTATTCAGTGATGGAAATGGGTTTTGGGAATTAGGTACAGCATATGCTAGTTTTGGGAACCAGGTATATGCTAAGGCTATATCCAAGCTTTATGCTCGGATCACAAGGGAGCCTACTCATAATTATAACAAATAAATAAGTAATTTTAATTGGAAGAAAATTGACAGAAGATAGCTTATAAATGTCTCCATTAGTTAAAAACTGAACATAAAAAAACTAGAACTTGAGAAGTAGGTATGTACCACACACCCGTAAACCCCCACCATTACAATACAGTTCTGTGCATCTTTAGTTTACACTATAATAATCTCACTGCCTTTTTTTATGTTTTTAGTGCTGCTAAGTTTCTTAATTTTTTAAAAATATTTGAACCAATAAATTATGGGCTATTACACTTAAGCACTACAGCAAGAAACAAAGACTATACTCTAAATCAAATAATCTACCAACAGGAATAGAACTGTACAACCTATTTTATCAATCTATTACAACTCATTATCTCTACACAGGAATACAAAAACAGTCCAGAACCCTATACACGCTACAATTCCCAGTATTGAATAAAAATATATTATGCAAACTCAAATATCAATTGGATGACTTTCTGAGTACAGTACTAACCAATGACTTGGGTGCTGGGGCTGAGCTGAGGTGCCATCAGTCTCAGTACCTCCTTCACTGCAGCATCCTTGTGGCAAGTGACCTCTATCTCATGCACCAAATTCTGTAATATTTTTATATGTTTCTGTTTATTATGATCATTAAAATATGCTTCTCTATTTCAACACGATAGTTTTACGAGTTATTGCATGTCCTACTACAATTACAGTTTAAAATATCAAGAGTTCAATGTAATGAAATGCCACTATGCTTAATTCTATTACTGTGCTACTGTACCAAGCCCTTGCCTAACCAACCCATCCTGTTTAGATAGTACTTTTAATAACTATGTGCACCACTGTAAATATATTGACATATCTAAACAGTAGGACAATTAGATGGAATTTGGTATATAGAGTCCAGAAAAACTAAAACTAAAAACCAAACATAAGTATTCCTAGGCTTAGTATAGCACATATATGTACTATATTAGGCATCAGATAACAGGTATTAGGCCTAGGATGGTTCGGTTAGGTTTTATTAACAACAAATACAAAACCTCTTCCAAATTGTCCAAATTCAACACTGAAGTACTCTACCAAATTCCACTTTCTAACTATCCATTACGTCAATATACAGTACGTATGATGGTGCATATTGTTACTGTAAGTACTATCTAAACAGTAGGATGGGCTGACCTAACACAATAGACCTCAAAGACCCATCTATCACCTACAAGGAGCCAGGACCTGAATTTGGTTCATAGTATGAGGTGAGTAGAACAGAGTAGAATCCCCACAAACACCTTAACAAATCAACAACAGGTCAGCAACAACCACCACAGTTAACCAAAAAGGGAGCGGAAGGAAGAGCCGGGGTCCATGCCGAGTTCAAAGTCCAGACCAGAACTGCATGCCAACACACGAGATGAGATGAAAATCATGAAAGTGCCCCTGGTCTCCCCAGATAACAAGAAAACAGCAATCCTTGTGAAGCAACAGAAACCACAAATCCCCACAAGAGGAACTTCACCTGGGAGCCAACAAAATTAAGTCCTGGGAAAACTCCAGAATTGCATGACAGAATGTGTCAGTGGGATGAAGGCCAAAAACAATATAAGCTAGTAATAGCAACAATATAAGCTCAGATGAAGGCCGAGTGCAACCAAAGCAGCCAACAAGAGAACCTGGGGCACAAGACCCCCAACATGTGGAGGGCAAGCAAAAACACTGAAGACACCTCCTGCCAATCAGGTGTGCAGAACGGCAAAACCCTGCCACACCCCAAGTGACAAAGGATAGTCCACTAGCCAGGATGAACCCAGAATTGCGAACGCACCCAAAGGGCCAGAACCAACCAACCAAAGCAGAAACCAGATTGCATAGGAAGCACGCACTAAGGTGGCTCCCTGAACCTCCACCTAGGAAAGCAGCAGGAAGAAAACTCCTGGAAGGACAAGTCAGAGGAACCCAAAGGCAAGCGGAAATGAACCCAGGGCGTAGCCACACCAAACACAAGTTAAACAGGGTGGTGGGGGGGGGGGGTCACCCCTACAAAATACCCTTCACAGATGGCATGAGGGCCCACAAAGTGTCAAAATGGAATCCAAAAGCTCCCCACCCCTAAGCAGAGGGCCCCGAGGTAAAGCTCTTATCCACGCCCACTGTCGGGATAGACAGGTGAAGCCCAAGGGAGAAGCTTTGAAGGAAGGGGTCGGCTGGGAAGACCCAAAAGCTTCGGCGGGATAGAGCAGCTCAACTAGCGAATGCTAGTTTCACAAAATTTTGGTCCAGTAGTTTGTTTTCATTGATTTGAGGAATTCGTTTGGCAAATTTAAGGCTGCAATTTCATTTTTAAACCATGCAGTACTGTAGTTGGTTTTGGTTTGCATATCTTTCTGGGTGCTTCCCTGGTGGTGGCCAGTATGATTAAGCTTTAAAAGTAAAGTTTTCATAGGCTATCGTTCGTTGCGCCTCTCTAGAGGGAGGGCCAGGTTCTGACTTGTGGTCCTCGATAGGCCAATAGAACTCCACAATTGATGGCACCTAGTAGTATGGCACTGATCAGTGTTTGATAGCTTTAGGGACCTGATGGGACTTACCCCAGAAAAGACCTGGGAATAGACATAATTGCAACATTAACACCAGAAGCTCATGTAAACAGGATACCATCAACAGCATATGGGAATCTAGTGGTTGGCAAATAGAATGCATTGAAGAAAGAGGGTGTTGAAGTCAATTCCATCCACAAGTTGAAGAAAAAAATATGATGAAAATGCTATGAAAAGAAAGCAAATTAACACACCAGGAATGAACTGCTAAGAGGTAGTGTATAAAGAGCCAGATCTCACTTCCTCATAATCACTGATAAGTAAGCACAAGAACAATCGAGGTACTAGTTCAGAAAAGTGCCATTGAATGCAGAAGTGAAAGATGTAAAACACTTGTACATTACTTATTTGCTACTTGCAAAATTATTTATAGACTCAGAACAATGATTTGTATATAAAAATTCTCTGAAATGTTTCTCTTTCTCTCTAGTCTAAAGACTCTAGACACAGTCTGTTTCTATTGTGGTATCAAAAAATGAATAATGTAATAACTAATGTCTGGTATTTTAATAATTCTGTCAATAGCACATAGAAATATTGGATAAGGAAAAAGATTTGTAAAAATTTAGTAACGGATGATACAGCACTAAGTCACCAGATTGAGAAGATAAAAGAAGCAGACTATATAGTACAGTGTTGTAATGTAAAAGTATTCCTATATACAGTAGTAGGAGGTAACAAACAATGAAGCATTTACATGTACAGCACTATAAGTCAAACATATGTAAGAGATTGTGCACAATTTACCTATAAATAGGAGATTAACTCTGGAATATAAATAAAAAAAAAAAAAAAAAGATAGCAAAACAGTCATAGCAAATTATTATACGCAAAGCAACTAACCTGCAGTTCTGTAACAATCAGGAAGGCTAGTAGCTTATCCACGCCTGTCAACCCAGCAGTGCTGATGCTGGATTCAACCTTTGCCATAACAGAGCTGGAGAGCACCTCTGTGTGGGCTCTACTGTCATACCAGGCTCCCAGTTGTGACACATACACTGTAGTTCTACAGAATTTAGAAACGTGCTTTCAAAGGTGTGGCAATTCAATCAAATACTATATCAGTGTACAAATACTTTCATAAACATTAGTTATTTAAAAGATTAACAAATATACCACTAGCATGTTTATCAGAGTAACTTACTTTGGGTCAGTAATTCGCAAAATCTCTCGTACAAGCCTGCCGATAAAATTTACTGACTGAGTATCCACTGATGAGAACTTTGGAATAGGTATGGCCACACTCTGGTAGATGCTTTCATGGTCAGATATTTTCTTTTTTAGGAGTTGATTGCATTCCTAAAATAACAAAAAAATTTGTTTAAAAATGTCCAACTGTTTAGAGATCCATTAATAACATTTGATAAGCCATTTAACCCTCTGGCTGGGGAACTAAATAAAAGGTTTGTCCCCACTAAAAGCCAAAATACTACCTTTTCTAATTTCTTATTACATTTGTAAGAAAAAGACCCACTCTTTCTGTCTATATCATTAAACACAAATCTTTGAGCCTCCATTTTCTAATAAAATAAAGAATGGTAAAAAAGAGCCAGTACTAGGTTGTACATTCCCCCAAGACAGAGAATGTCACAAACAAACAGAATATCATAAATACAACCAAGCATAACTGTAAGAGGGATTACATTTCTGCAGGATGGGCAAAGAGCGGGATTTCTTAATATTTATGTTGTTTAAAACACTATGTAACAGGCTTTAATCTGGGTAGTAAGTGTTATTTTCTAAATGCTTCAAAGTATAGAAAATGGCCTATTATTCCTCTCAAACTTAGCTTTAATCTTTACCTCAGGCAGATTAGGGAGGATATTTTAAAGGTTACTTGAAGGCAGCCAATGTTTTATCTAGAAGTGTGATAATGTGACACAGCTCTAGATAAGGAGTCATCAGCTTTCCAGTAACCTTCAAGATATCCTCCTGAAGCTAAGGCAAAGTTTGAGGGGAATAATAGCCATTTTCTATACTTTGAAGGCATAATCAATTAAAAAATAACACATTACTCAGGAACAAAAACAAATTTGTTACATAGTTTAATCTTCGGTTATATGATATATATTTGCTATCCTTTAAGAGAGATTATAAAGAATTTGGACAAGAGTCCTACCTGTTCAACATTGTAATTAACAATACGAGACAATTCTTCCTGCCAAATTTTCAATCCATACATGCTGATGTAATCCTGGATGTACTCAAATGATGTTCGGAACCCTGTCATCTTCTGCCCTACAAGTTTAAGTCGTCTGTATAATTCACTGCCCTGTAAAGAAATAATGAATCATTTATAAAAAATAAGAGCAAAATAATTATAATGCATTCAAACTTAATTAACAACAATGAAAGCTATAAAATTTACTAATGATGAAACTTAAATTCAAAGTATAAATTAAGGCCTGACCTATTTTTGTCCATGTATATACAAGATATATACAGTATACACAATGAATGTGATTTATCTGAGATAATATTGAGGCCATACAATGGCATTGAACCCACAACCCTGGACTTGCCAGCTGGTAGTGCTTGTACCTGTGGGAGTCCAGGGATGTGGGTTCCATCCCATTGTATGTCCTCATTACTTTCTTATGATACATACAGGTACATACATTAGGTGTCATAAAAGCTGTATACGAAACCCATCAGAAGTTTAAAAATGTTTGCATGACAAAGTTTATTGGAAAGGCTGAACTTCACGTGTGTAGTACTCGTACTGTAACTACACTTCGGTAATTACATTCTATACGATGGGAAAACAATTCATGTGGATCTGTACCAACCTTGACCTTTGTGTTGAAGGTAAGTCCTTCGTGTAATATTTGTGCCACCTGAAAAACCAGCTCTCTACGCACTCCATCTTCCAGAAGCCTACGAGGGTCAACCTGGATCACACCAACCAGAGTCGTCTCCATCATTGCCACACCCTCTGCCAGCACAGCAACACTATGGCTAAGCTCAGCCATCTGCAAAAGGAATATACCACACCATATATATCATTCCCCAGTTCTTTTGTATTAAATGCATCATATCCCAACCAGTCCTCTCAAAAAATACATCGCATTTTGACATCAAAATCCACAATGTAGGGAAGATATAGGTACGAGAGGCAAGAACAGGGGGGGAGGGGGATATTGGGGAAGTACAAAGGTGGGTGGAAGACCCAGGCACCCCATCTAATCTCCTATATAATTCCTGTTGTCGAGTACAGGAAGCCATGCTTTTCAAGGTCCCCCTAGGTCAACTACTGATCTTACTCATAATGCAACTCGCAACAGTTTCCCAATTCCTGTGTGAAAATTTATAGTTGTGTAAACAAAGGTATCAGGTGAAAGAAAATGTTCTCAACCATTTCGGTCCCATCTGGGGATCAAACCTGATATCCATGATTGTGAGTCGAGGAGGTAACTATTGGATTAAAAGACCAATATATTCATTCATTTGCTCTGGCTCACTCTGAAGGTCAACACCCTGTCTTCCTAAAACTCCCATTCATTGAGATGACTGCCATATGTAGAATCTTTCCCAGATAATTCAAATTTCATAGAGTTTTAGATCCTTTTAAGAGCACTCTAAACTAGAGGTGTACTAATGCATTAGTTTTTTTTTTTTGTGCAGGGATATTCCTGCACGGGCCCTAAGCCTCTGGCTGGCCCACTTAGTGTTGTTTGTTTCTGTTTTACTTGGGCGGAGTATGAGTATTTATGACTCGTATGGTATCGGTGATATTAGCCCATTTTTGTAGGTGGGTACAGGAGCAGATGAGTTCTGACTCCTGTTAGCAAGCATAGAGCTCTCCCTTCCACAGCTTACATCACGTCTTAATCAAACTAGAAATGCTCTGCAAATCAAGGGGCCCAGAATGTGGAATGACCTTCCCAACCATGTTAAAGACTGTACCTCTCTCAACCAGTTTAAGATAAAAACTAAACACTACCTAATAAATTCCCTGTAATCTACCTCACTCCTCTATTGTCAACCCATGTCTGTTATTTTCTTCTTTTTTTTTTAATCAACACTGTTTGTCAACCTATTGTATTTGTGCTGCTTTTTCAGTCATGTTCCCCTTTTTTTTTATCTTTATTTGTATTTGTTCTCAACACCTTTTATTCTTTATGCTCAATTAGTATTAAGTTCTAGATATTAATGTTTTTCTTGCCCGAAACGCATTGCGTAATAGTGGCTTTAGGCATTGTATGTACTAGCTCTATCTATATATCAATCCATTAATGTAACATCACTTGTATGTATATACCTTACCTGAATAAACATCTGAATCTGAATCTGAATCTGAAGCCTTACCCTACCAGTTTTCCCTGGTAAATGATCAACTAAATATTGTTAAAAAGACTGCTCCAAGTACATTCAGTGACTAGAAAGTTGAAAAAATGTGTTAAATGTGGAATACCAGTTGTAAGCAAATTTAAATGAAAAAGAAATAGATGAGGAACCACAAAAACATTGGAAAGCTGCAGGGCAGCAGTGTAAACAATGCACAGAGATTCGTCCACTTCTCTCTGAGCGGCAGTGCCGAGAGAATACTTGTTGGTCCAAGTCGGTATTTTTTTTTATTTAAGTGATACTAATCAGTAATCACGGCTGGGAGTCCACTTAACAAAGCAATAATTGTCCTATATTTACTGAGTATATTTATTTATTATGTCACTGTTTACAAATACTGTACTGAAATCACAAGAAACTGTGTTGTCTAAAGTTCTAACATCTACAATAAAAACTATCAGTGTTGGTAATTTTATAGTGCAGTATTGAAATACTGTTCCAGTATATAATGTTGTGTTGATACTGGTCAAAATATTGGTATTGGTACAGGTTTACCTGTAACACCAGAGAAATGCATATGAAAAGCTGGTTATCATAAATGTGAAGCAGCTGCTTACATTAACACTTTCGGGCATCAGTGATGGATATTGTGTCCATAAATAACTCTACAGATGTCCAGTGGTGATGTGTTTTGTGTCCAAAATTAAAATATGTTAAAATTCCATTTTTCCCAGATCATTATGGGACTACTTTTAAAATGTGTACCTTTAGATTGCGAACAATTTGATGCCAGAATAAATGACGTAGCATGAAAACTGGAGGCGAGAAAACTGAACAGAATACAGTATACACATTTTGGTGTTGGTGTGTAGATGGGTGCTCGCTCACGGGTAATGCTTGGCCGATTTTCAGGTTTGCTCTGGGTGACACGTCAGGCTTTTTGACTTTATATGCATATATCCATTTAGAGAATTCTGTTGCGAACATCTTGATACCAAAATGAAGGATGTAACACAAAAATTGACATGAGAAAACTGAAAAGAGTATACACATTTTGGTGTGGGTGTGCGGTTAGGTGCTCGCTCACGGGTAACACTCGGCCGATTTTCGGGTTTGCTGCGGTTGGCATGCTTTTTTTTTTTTTTTTTATCTTACATAAATATATTTCTTTAGAGAATTCTATTGCTAACAATTTGATACCAAAATAAATGATGCAACACGAAAATTGATGTGAGAAAACTGAAAAGAGTAGGCACATTTTAGTGTGGTGCACGCTCACGGGAAACACCAGGCCCACCTTGGGGACAGCTGGCGAGCGCACGCCGGGCAGCTCAAAGTGTTAGGAAATAAGAATTTGTAAATTTATCAATTGACCTCAGCAAATGTGTAAATGGCACCATTGAAAGTACAGTGTAGTTGAAAAGAAACAAATCAGAAACCTGTTTAAAGCAGAGTTAAAGATGCCATTTAGTATGCTTAAGTCAAGTCACAGTTTGGTGAAATGTAGAATAGAGACCTGATATCTTTCTGTAAGTTGAGCAAATTCCCTCATTTTGTCCTTGTCAAGGCGTGTTGGGACCTCCTTGATTTTCTCTGTTTGAAGCATGATAATCTTCGCAAGTAAGCCAAACATTGTTTCGGGTATAATTTGAAGGACCTGCAATGATGAGAAGAAGAAAATGGTGAATTTACACAACAAAATGGAAAATTTATTCACCCTAGTTCTTTCTATGGTTAACAATTATTGCTTTTGTTATCAGCAATTCCCCCTGAACCTAGACTAAACCAATTTTTATGTCAGTTCCGCTTTACTGAAATAGTCCATTGCAGATAAATGTAGCAGGCTAACCCAAAACTCAAAACAGGAATTGGGTGAGCCTGGTTCACTGGCACTGTTTAAAAAATGCATGAGGATGCATCTGACCATTTCTCTCTTTCATTACAGTTAATCTTAAACATTTAAGTAATAATTCTGAATTCAGAAAACAAATACAAAAGGTAACCAAAATTATAGGTGCAACAATGACATATACATACAATAAATGCCATTCATATTTCTTCCTAGTAAAACACACATTCTTTTCTTTCAAGATCAGTATTCTGTGAAACACCCTCAACTAGTATTTAAAAATCACATTCAATAACAACCTACTTTTCTGACATAAGCCACCAGATCTCCTGAATAGTATGCAGAAACAGAGATTAGGTCAGGGCTGCGGGCTTGATTGATGCGCAACAGTGGTAGGTCCAGCCCTGATGACAGCTTTAGGAATGTGGCTCGAAGTTTAGCCACATGGGCGGCATCTTTTTTGATGGCCGACTAGCTTGGAAAAAATAAATTATGAAGAGCAGCAGGTTTAAATAATCTGTGCAAATTTTTATTTGGAATTTATAGACTACATCTTAACACAAGTGAATATACTGTATATTAGTTAATATAAAAAGCTTTGTTCTCAAGAGGAACACTAACCCCAAGGTAAGATTACTGAAGGCCCCACTGGACCGGCCGATGATACTATAATTCAGGGTAGGGTGACATTTTGAAACATGGATCTTTTCAAATGTTCTTGTTGGGTTATACAAGTGGTTGGGAGGCATCTCAAAAAGCTCAAACTGACTCGGTGACAAAAGAAGACTCACTCATAAGAACTCAAAGCATTTCCAAGCACTACTTAACATTAGATGGATTGCTAAGTGGCACATTTGCAATTTGCCAGCTCCCCACCTGGGTACCACCCCTAACCTCCACCATGAAGTTACCAAAAAAATGCTCCTGCTAGCCATGAAGTGATAATCCAGTACTGAAGTCAAGAAGCAGATAAACTAAAATCAAGAAGAGCATGGGGTTGGAAGCCTGGGGCCACATTCACAAAGCAATTACGCAAGAACTTACGAACCTGTACATCTTTTCTCAATCTTTGGCGGCTTTGTTTACAATTATTAAACAGTTAATGAGCTCCGAAGCCCCAGGAGGCTGTTTATAACAATAACAACAGTTGATTGGGAAAGTTTCATGCTTGTAAACTGTTTAATTAACAAATGTAATCAAAGCCTGTCAAAGATTGAGGAAAGATGTACACGTTCGTAAGTACTGTACTTGCGTAACTGCTTCGTGAATCTGGCCCCTGGTACCTGTTCTTCAGGAGAAAAAAAGCTTCTTGTCCTACAGAGTCTGAATTTCAGGAAGGCAAATAACCATGATATACTGAGTAAGGTGACGCCCAGTGATGTATGTCACATGGCATATAAACCACTGACCAGGAAGGGTTAAACAGGAACCAGACTGACTCCTCTACCACCACCTAAGGCTAAAACTCCTCCTCACTTTGCAGCATGCCCAGTCATGCTACAAAACATAATCCAACTCCTGGCTACTACCTAGGAATGACAGGTCCATTACAGGAGCTGAAAACTTCCACTGAGGATAAAGTGGCCACTCTCACATAATGTAAAGAGGAAAGCCCCAGAGGGTGGTCAGTTTCCTCAAACTTCCCTAGGACACTGGAGAAACACAAGTATTTAAAAGCAGTGTTTGTGCAGAGGCCTCCTAATACAGAGGATTCTTCTTGCAAGACATCAGAACCAGATGTACCAAATCCACCTCTAGAAAGAAGGAATTCTATGAAGCAAACACTGAAACTGACAATAAAATCAAAGAGAATGATGCCCAAGCTTAGCAGCTGTAACAAAAGTGACCTGCCCAAATAATAGTTTGAACAGGATCAAAACCCACATTACAGACTGAATATCTTGTGTGACACTGACCCTGAACCCAACAGAGAATGATGGAAGCAGAAGGGAAGGCAGCAAAGTGAGAAACAGGTGGTCTTAATAGTCCTTGTAATGCAATGTTTGGGTTAGATCGAGCTTTTTCCAGTGCCTACATAGCATTAGTGTAACCCAAAATGCTCAAAAAGATCACAGTTGCATCAATGCATGATATCACCCAGCTCTTGTGGTTGAAGGGATCTTACTTTAGGGAGCATCCAATTGAAATAGTTCAGAAATTACAATTATAAATACTGATCTATAAATATTTAATTATTCTAAAGAACTGCTCACTGACACCATGTTCAGACAACAAACCTGCATAATTGGAGTGTATTCATCAACCAGAGTCCATGCATAGGAGAGGTCAGAGATGAGAGAAAGGGTAACCAGGTTGTCTTCTGTCACTCCAGCTACACGCACCAAGGCCTGGAGGGCTGATACTACCTCACCCACTGCTTGCACCACACCAGCACTTGATTCCAAACCATGAAATTCTACAGTAAAAATTACATACATTATTTTTAAACAGTGCACTCTTTGTCCTTTTACACTATTTTACAAAATTTGGTGCATGGCTCTTATCATCATCATAATGAGTTACTTTTATGATCATTCAATTTAAAGGGAAATTACATATCTGATTTAATTTTTATTAAATATCTGATTTAATTTGTTTGCTATAGTTTCCCGGCAAAAGTACACACCACATACTGTACTTTTTCCTTTCTCAATTTTCTTCCCATTAAGATGTTTCTCACACCTAACACATCTATCTTTCCATTTAAAAATTATATTAAATACCCTCTTCCCTTAATCATTTATGCCATTTATATTAAGTACACATACACTAAATTCCTTGTATAGTTCCTCCCAAATTCATCTCCATGCTGTTTTGCCTGCTTTCCTGTTACCCCAAAAAATGGATGCTGACTGGAAGCTAACCAAGTGCAGCAATATCTCAGGAAGAACTGGGGTTGGGTTGTTTGCTATCCAACAAGACAGCATGAGTCTTTGGAAACCAGAGAACCCATATGTCAACACACACAAGAGAAGGGGCTTTGTCCAAGTTTAAGATATTACAAAACAATAGCAAGCACAATTTAACAGAAAACAACTAGAAATTACTAAAACCTAAACAAAATTAAAGACAAAATTTAATTGAAATATCAAAAATACTGCCTGCCTCTGTTGTTCAACTACAATGTGTGCACTAACAAGGCCACCAGGGTGCCAAAGATTTTATGACAAAATACTTCTCCAATACATTAGTTAGCTTTTCCAATAACAACCTCATGGTTGTCCTGCAGTAATATGTCCATTGACAACTGAAGCCAACTTGTTTCCTGTCTGCAAGTAGCAAATATTCAAACATTTTATAATAAAAACTTGAAACAGTTTATAAGCTTACCCTTGACTTCTTTCAATGCTTTTATCAACTGAATAATTTTTCGTCCAGCACAGCCTGGATCATCCAGACTTAGACTCAATATTTCTTCTCCTATGTCTTTGAACCATTTATTGAGGCGGTCATTCTTGGCTACTCGAGCTAAAGGTCGGCTCCCAGCAAACACCTCAGCTAGTTCTAGTACATGTTCATTAGCATCCTTTTGGAACTTCTCCCATCTGACTGACTGGTAACAAATTACAAAAAAAATTTAAATATCTGTTCATGAGAAAATGTAAGGGGGGATGAATCTAACAATTTACATTTAAGGCTAAAAGAGCTTGCATCAACTTCATTCATTATATTCTCATTTAGTTGAATGATACTTTAAATCACTAAAATAAAGTAATTTGGTGGTATACATGACTAAGTAAAATGTATAAAATGATTTTTCATTGCAGTTAAAAATTGAATAGTCCTTGAAATTGGCTGTAGATGATATTAAATATACTTTCATGTACAAAACATTTCTTAAAAAAGGATTTCAAGTTAAAAACTCCTTTCAGAGCTGGATGTATAGATGCTCTCATTACTAAAAACTTTATGGTTCACTTAAAGACCTGCATCACCTGACAGGCTTTCGTGGCTTTTTTCCCAGCATGGTTTAGTTGTTTCTTAAGTAGTCATGTCAAATCTAGGGAAGAGAAACAAGTGGCGAGTAACTCGAGCACCACAGAATACACCAGCTCACAATGATCAAAGTATGCTTGGGAAATACGGGACAAAAAGAGTGGGAACACAAGGCTCAGAAAGAAACAAATGTAGAAGACATGGTACTGAGCAGAACACTGGCAGAGTGGAGACCTTGAAGCAGAACAAAAACAAAAACAGAAGCCACATGAACTTAGACATCAAACTAGAAAAAGAACTATACAAGATTTTTTTATTTATATATACAAGAGTTCTTACATTCTTGTACAGCCACTAGCACGCATAACGTTTCGGGCAAGTCCTTAATCCTAATATTTCCCGGAATACGACCCGCCAAATCGTTTAACTACCAGGTACCTATTTTACTGTTTTATAAACAGAGGCTACAGTTAAGGATTGACGCCCAGTGAATCCTCCCCAGCCAGGATACGAACCCACTCCAAGGCGCTCGTGAAATGCCAGGTGGGTGTTTACCACTACGCCACATCAACTGCTATTTCCCAGCATAATGGTCCTGGAGCTAAACTGAGTGCGAAATTGGTAAAAGATGTACCCGACTCAGAACCATATCCAATTACTGATCTTTAATTGAACTGGTACATGTCAAAAGGCAAACTTGAGGACCAGGGAAATAAGGCAGGACATGCCTGAAACCCCCAGATAAAATATAGACACGGAGGTCTTCCGTAATGTAGAGAATAAACCTGCCCTTCAGAGTGTTTCTTTGGCAACCAGGAAAAGTATGGAGATCACCCAGAAAGATGGGCCCACGGCAATCATACCCTTGTCCAACATTTTTTGAGTATAGGTATGGAGTAACGTGGCAGATGGCTGCACAGCAGCCAGAAGGAAGGCATCATACTGCAGCAGGTTTCAGGAATATCCAATTGCCAAATTATTGGGAGCAGGTTGAGGGCTGTAAGTGGTGTTCCCAGTTACATAAAGGTATAGGGAAGTTGAAAAGAAAATTAGACATGGGAAATAAGTGAAAGTGAGTGAAAATTCTGTATTGGAAAAGTTTATACGCCAAAACAAAAGATCGTCAATAACAAAGACGGACACCACCTCTGGAGAGGTAAGCACACTAGCAGATAAATGTTTCGAAGGATTCTCAACACAAGATATAAGGATAGGAGGTTTTCTTGACAGGTTAGAGATTATTGAGGACAGGTTAAAGGAGTATGAAGAAGAGATCCTTATTAGAACAAGAAATAGAAGCTTTCAGGGATAAGTTTTGCACTTTAAAAGGAAACATTCTTCAGCAAAGTAGGAAAATTGCTGCCTTAACAGACAAGGTTAACCAGGTACTGTATTACAGTACCCAGGACACCTAGAAAGGACAGGAAAACTCATTCCACTAGAGGCCCTCCAAATAAGTATTCCCAGTCGAAGATATCCAAAAGACTTGCAATTGTCCCCTCAAAACAGTGACTGATAGCTACCATGAAAGGGTGGATGAGAACCATAGGAGATCTGTCAAACCACTCAACACCACACAGACCCATTGCTGAACACATGCAGCAGGAAGCAGCAGCCTAGCCAAACTTGCATGGAACAAGAGTGCATCAGAATTACTACCTCATCCTGGAAACAAAATCTGTCAGGGCCATCTATGCCTTCCATGAGATGTGGATACCATGGATCTCAGTTGAAAGATCCGAGTAGCTAAAACAGTGTATGATCAGTGTCCATAAGCCTCTACGTATCCTCAGGAAACAGGAGAGCCAAAGACTGAGTAGATGTTAACAAAGAGGGGTATCCAAAAGGCCTCCAGTGAATGGCTTAACAAAGCACACCTGCAGACAAGGTATCTGAAGAAACTCAACACCTCATCATGAAGGAAGAGAGCAAAAACCTTATACAAAGCCTGTTACCACTGAAGCAAATGACAAGACCAACTCAAAAGCAAACCCCATGTAGAAATGACACCTCCACCCATAAACTCAAGGAGAATATATATTACATTAAATTCACACATCAGGGAAGTTAAAAATGTGCACCAAGTACAAAAATGGCTAGTAGGGTGGGCATCAAGAGCTAGATCTCATTACCCCTGGGAGTGAGGGAAGAGGCCCATGCATATACAGAATGATTAACCCTTGCACTGCTCACCTATTTTCGGCAAAAACGTCTTGGTGCAATTGTCAAGGACATATTTTTGTTATTTTTACAAATGTTCAGGTAAATTTAATGTCAAAATGTTTCCAAAGTCAACTATTTCCATTTCAAAACACAAATAGTAATGAAAACATTAAAAAACATTAAAATATAGCCAAATTACAAAACAAAAAGCACAACTCTCTGTGCGCCTAAAGGCGCTTTGCGCAGTGCAGTGGTTAAGGAAATACAAAGACTTTCCAGTAAACAAAGCACTGAAAACTGGGAAAACTTCTTTCCAGTCAGAACCAAATTCTGGCAAGAAGACTGCCATTTGCTCACAAGAACGCTACTTTGGTGGAAAGTAAAAAGACAGGTACAACATTGAATTAAAAATATTTGGCCACTGCCGAGCTAGCAAGGTGATGGTTATACCCGTCTATAATTCTGAGGATTAATGTCCAAGCAGCTCAGTCTATGACCAGGTGTCTTAGTTGGTGGTTTGGTCAACCGGACTGTTCAACATGGCTGCTCACAGCCTGGTTAATCAGGAATCCTTTGAAAATGTTTATTAAGTTCTCTTCTGAACACTGAAAGGTCAGCCAATTATGCCATGAATGAGTAGTGTGTGTTAAAAAGTCTTGGGCCTTTGATGTTAATCAAGTTTTCTCTCGGTGTGCCTTTTACACATTGCTGTTGCTCGGTCACTTTCTTAACTGCTGCTAATTATTCTTTCTCTGACCACTTGTGCATGTGTTAGATGCATATGCTTTTTTGCACTTCCCTATATCCTGTATAACATTCTCCATCTTTTCTGACGAATGTTCTTTTCCCTGTTGAATTTCCTTGCCTAACTTATCATATTCACTAATCTTGATTTCAATTAACTTTGATTATTCCATGCCAAATCATTACATCTTTCAACCTAACCATCTCAAATCTTGAGATAGTTATCTTGAGATGATTTCGGGGCTTTAGTGTCCCCGCAGCCCGGTCCTCGACCAGGCCTTCATTCCCAGGAAGCAGCCTGTGACAGCTGCCTAACTCCCAGGTACCTATTTACTGCTAGGTAACAGGGGCATCAGGGTGAAAGAAACTCTGCCCATCGTTTCTCGCCGGCGCCCGAGATCGAACCCAGGACCACAGGATCACGCGTCCAGTGTTCTGTCCCCTCAGCCACCAGCTCCCATATACATGAAATTTGGATGGATGTTTTAGAGTACACGAAGTAACATACATAAACAAAATTTTAGCCCTTAGTGATGCAGAATATTCATACAGCAGGGTACAACAATTTTATATCCAATGTGATATAAAATAAATTATTGCTTACAACCTCAAAAAAAAAAAAAATCATAACTTTGTTTCTAATTGTGGTAGAATCATTTTAGGCTTGTTTTTAAACTAAGGAAACATTGTTTTCATTGGTAATAGTTATACACTGAATAATGAATTTTTTCATTTCAAGATTACATGACCTTTGATCTGAATAAGTAAAAAATGCATCTCTAATTTTTGGGAAAAATATGTTATACAGTTGATGCATTTTCTCTCTCTGGTATAAGTTTCATTTTGAAATGGCTTTGGCAACAAGAGTAAAAAAAAAAAATGTATAAAATGTAGGTATAAAGTAGTTAACACTTCTTGCATCAAACTTTCATCAGTAAAGTTTAGTCTTGTCTGATAGTCAGTCTCTCAGTCTCTCTCTCTCTCTCTCTCTCTCTCTCTCAGTCTCTCTCTCAGTCTCTCCCTCTCTCTCTCGCAGTCTCTCTCTCTCTCGCAGTCTCTCTCTCTCTCGCAGTGTCTCTCTCTCTCGCAGTGTCTCTCTCTCTCGCAGTGTCTCTCTCTCTCGCAGTGTCTCTCTCGCAGTGTCTCTCTCTCTCGCAGTGTCTCTCTCTCTCGCAGTGTCTCTCTCTCTCGCAGTGTCTCTCTCTCTCGCAGTGTCTCTCTCTCTCGCAGTGTCTCTCTCTCTCGCAGTGTCTCTCTCTCTCGCAGTGTCTCTCTCTCTCGCAGTGTCTCTCTCTCTCGCAGTGTCTCTCTCTCTCGCAGTGTCTCTCTCTGTGTGTGTGCACATCTCGGCAGGGTTGACAATTTAGCTATTTTTTAACTAAATTTTTCTCTCTAACATACACAGTGTTGCAACTCATTTGAGATTAATTTAAAGGGTACAGCAGAAGTAGAAAACAATTGCAGAAGGTGCTACCATGGATAATAGACAAGCTGCCACATGTGAATACATGTAGTGAACAAAAATGTAACAGTTCTAGGACAAAAATGAAAAGGTGTTCTGTTACTGAGGCTGGCAGCTAGGGCAAGTTTACATACAGCATCTGTACTGCTCAAATTACAACATGAAGACAGTTGTTCAACTGGGTAAAAGATAACATCAGGAACATGAACTTTGCATATGTGTCAACAAGAAATAATGATAAATGAGAAGTTGCTACACAAAATAAATGAAGAAGCTAGGCCAGTACCTGGAACTCAAACATTTCCTGCTTTCACAACAGAAACAAGGAATGAATAAATAATAAAGCAGTTTTCTACAGAAACAACTAGTAAAGAGAAGCAAACAAATATTCCATACGAAAGATTGTCTCTGGAATAAAAGGAATGTTTTGTGACTTGCATCTATAATGATGTCTGGTGGTTAGGTTGTTTCATAAAGGTGAACACAACATCACAGGAGGTTTTTATGAGTTTCCTACATTCCAATGGCTCATCCCCATCATGTGTGTATCCTCCCCAGCCAGACATACTGAACATTCCGATTGAATAAGTTCTCACTAAGTTCTCCACGTACTGCAACTGGGTGAACTTACACAATAACGGATGCGGACATTCAAAGATCAAAAGAAGCGTTGCAGAGGAGAAGGCACCAACTTGTTATGGTTGCAAGTTTTTCTCAAAGTTGTATATGACACTATTTCATTCTCTGATATGGTAATTTCCATAAACAAGTGCTAAAGTATTTCAATGAATGTGAGGTACACTATTTTAATTTTTTTTTTTTTACTCCTGTTCCAGAAACCATTCCAAAATGAAACTTATACCAAATGCAATGCAATTTAACTGCTTACAAATTTTCCCCCAAAATTAAAGATATACACATTTTTATATATTCAAGGTCAAAGGCTTTGAAATGAAAAAATTCAATATTTTACATAATGTTGTAAATGAAAACTATGCTTCCTTAGCTTCTAAACAAACACAATATGAAGATTCTACCTCAGTTAGAAGCAGGTTACGACTTTTTTGAGGTTGCAAGCAAAATTTTGTTACTTGTTCACATTGGTAACCCTGCTCTTTGAATATCGTGCACCAATGAGTAACGTTTTGTACATGTAAATTACTTCATGTCCTCTACCATCCTACCAAATGTCATAAAAATCTGAGCTGGTCAGGTAGAAAAGTCCACTTTTTTGTGATGATTTGACATGGAATGACCCACTGGGTGGTGGTCAATATAACTGAATTACTACCAGAAGTTTACAGTGATAATTGGCAGTCTTAACATTTAATTTTCCCTTGCACGGGAAGTTTTAAGTTGTGATTTCCTTTTATTGTGTCATAGTGAGCTGGTGAACTCGGTGGAAACTTGACTAGCCATTGTCTTCCTTCCCTAGAAAATGTCCGGCAAAGGACCACTAGCATAGATCTCAGTCCTGATGGGAATACAAGTCATGAGAGCCTGGCAAGTGAGAATGGCGTAGATGGACATTTAAGGCTTTGACCTTAGCTTAAATAAATACTACAGTATTGCTGTACTGAATTAATAATGCCTATTTTGGTACATTTCTTTAATAATCAGACAAAGGCATGATGGCTGAAATGTTATAATGACCAAGTTATGTACACTATCACAAGAATGGTGCAGTAAGACTTCCAGGCAAGCAGATAATACTTAGAAACCTTGATAAGAGTTCAACTATTTACACAGTAAAAAATTTGTTTCAAATATACATAGAGTATACAGATACAGTACTGTACTGTGCATTATAACCTTAATTTGTCTGTGAACGATGAACAAAAATATAGATACAGCATAGTAATACATGCATATAAAAGTACATATGGTACCTGTGACATACAAAGGTGACATACAAAGGTTAATGTAGCAAACTCTGCTACACCTCCATGCCCTTTATTTGGTTTAATAAATTTAGAAATACAAAAATCTAGACATTTTTTAAATATTGTCATACTGTACCACAATGTGTCACTTAAAACACCAACTAGAACAAGGAGAAGTTGACAGCTACATGTTTATTTTGACGAGTACCTTTTCTTCTACAAGTCTCTTATATGTTTGGTTAAGGTCAATTTCCAGTGTGGCAGTGTTGAGCATGAGCTGGAATACCATCATTGGGGAGTACTGCATGTCACTCACAACCTGAAACATATAAATACTTTTAATTAAAGTACAAGGTAAGGTAAGGTAATTATCAAAAGAAGGCACCAACCCGGGAAGGCTATGTAGCACCATCAAAGTGCGAAATAATCAGAGGGTGCTAAGTAAATAATTATCAAAAAAAAGCCACCAAACCGGGAAGGCTATGTAGCACCATCAAATGTGCAGAATAATCAGAGGGCGCTAAATATCACCAAGAATGCCAATACGAGAACAAAAACGCATAAGGCGAACGATATCAAAAGTATCGGATTCGCCTAGAATTCTATCGAGGGACAAGTAACCGCGAGGGACGGTCGGAAAGCAAGACACACGCTCGTCCTGGAAGTCAGGACATTCAACAAGGATATGCACAACTGTAAGAGGGACAACACAATTCGGACAATAAGGAGCAGGGCGGCCTCCATTAAGTGACCGTGGGTTAAACGAGTAAATTAAAATACAATTATTCCTATTATAACAATGGCTGTACACAGTATTTCCACTCAAACCTGACACACAGAAGCAGAGAAATAAACTTTTTACATTTCAATACCTCTCAATCTCTCTCCATTTTATGAGGTAAGAGGAATGTAATTGTGATAATGTTTTTTCATTACATTAATAATGTAATAATAATAAGTGAAGTAAATATTGAAAGCTAGCTATATAAGGATATTAGCCATAATTGACAATAGCCCATGCTCAAGCCACAGGGGCCTAAAAAATAGAACACATGTAATAAAACACCACTTTCTATCTACAACCCCCCTTCCCCCTCCCACTTCCATAGCTTTGGTCAACTGAATGCACTATTCAGAAGAGTCACTAGCCATCTTGACTGTTGTGGGCCTACCAGGAGCATATTACCAAAATCTGATTCCCTCATATAAGAGCACAGGGATTCAAGATCAATTAATAACCATTATAAACCAAACAGAATGTAAAAGTGCTCCCAAACCAACAGTGATAATGAAACAAATGAAACAATAAAAATGTCAACCAATAGTTGGCCACAAACAAATTTTGCTTCGGTTTGTCCCCAATGAAAATTAGGCGCTAACTGATATCAGAGGTTTCCTATGCAAAAAAAAAAAAAAAAAAAAGGGAGGAAAGGGGAACCACTGCAAGCGTCACACAGAAATTGGCACTGCATTCAGTGTTTATTTCTCAGTGACTTGCCCAAGCTGTCTTAACAATACAGTACCTCTGCAGATAATGACTTTTCCGAAGAAATAGAGATAAATATACAGAAATAATATGAAGACCTTACCTATGAGAAAAACCAGAGCATGGAAAGAAAAGCAAATCAATCACGTCGTGGAAACCGAAAGGGAGATTACATGATTCACACTAGAAAAAAAGAAACCCTCTGCATTGATTATACAAACCCAAGATGGGACAGAAGGCAAAGAAACCCTTACAGAGAAACCCAAAACTCAACAATCAATCACTGAAGTAGATGATGAAATAACAGGGTCTGAGCCCACACCAACACACAACTTAAACATGGTTGGAGGGAGAGGGGAGGTCCGCAGCTCGAGTCTTCTAGAGCCCAGGTGAATGGAATGTTTATTTTCACAGAAGTGTGGATAACAATTTCTACACTTTCTAATTTTGGAATTACCTTTAAATACTGTACATGGTTGGTGAAATACTTCAGAAATTGTTCACGATCTTTGTGAGACCAAAGCTGGAATATGAAGCCGCCGAATGGTGCCCAAATCTTAAAACACATCAACTGGAAAAGGTGCTAAGACATGCAACTAAATGACTCCTGGAAGTGAATGACAAGAACTACGAGGAGGTTTGAGGCATTAAATATGCTAAAACTAGAAGATAGAAGAATAAGAGGCAATATGATCACTACGTACAAAATAGTAGCAGGAATCAACAAAATTGCTAGGGAAGAATGCCTGAGACCTGGTACAGTACTTCAGGAACAAGAGGTGATAGATTTAAGCCAAAGCTGCCAAAGATATACAGTATAAGAACATTCACTTTTGCAAACAGTGGTAGATGGTTCAAACAAGTTAAGTGAGAAGGGGGTGGAAGCCAAAACCGTTAGTAGCGTCAAAGCGTTAAATGACAAAGTGTGTTGGGAAGACAGGACATGACGAGCGTAGCTTTCATCCTGTAACTACACTTAATTACATCAATGACAGATGAAAATATTACAAACTACATCAAATTTGCATGACACTAAGCTCCATGGTAAAGTAGGAAGTGAAGATTGAGCAGTCTCCGTGGTGTAGTGGTAAGACACTCGCCTGGCGTTCCGCGAGCGCTATGTCATGGGTTCGTATCCTGGCCGGGGAGGATTTACTGGGCGCAATTCCTTAACTGTAGCCTCTGTTTAACGCAACAGTAAAATGTGTACTTGGATGAAAAAACGATTCTTCGCGGCAGGGGATCGTATTCCAGGGACCACAGGATTAAGGACTTGCCCGAAACGCTACGCGTACTAGTGGCTGTACAAGAATGTAACAACTCTTGTATATATCTCAAAAAAAAAAAAAAAAAAAAAAAAAAAAGGAGATACAAGGCCTTATACAGAGACCTATATGAACTCTAGAAATGGTCGTGAGACTGACAAATACTTTAAAATATTGAACATGTATGAATGTATGGCATAAGATTACACAACTATCAAATCATCCTTATGCAGCAGAATTATGAGGAAAGGGATCTTGGAATTAGAGTTCACCAGTCATTGAAAGTTGCACAAATGGGAACTGAAGTAATGAGTCTGAACCAAACCCTAGGATTAGTTAAATGAACCTTTGACTTCAAGAAAACAAAGATGGGTATTCAAGTGTACAAATCTATACTGTTCCTCCATGTGGACTACTGTATTCAAGCATAGAAACCATCTTCAGAAGGACATACAGTATATGCTTTGGAGAGTTTTCAATACCGAGCAACAAAAATCATCACGGCATTATGTCGACTGTGCACTAGCACCACTATAAACCAAATATGACCGGCTAATCTCATTGAAACTTAAAATACAGAACAATTCTGAGGATGCTCATCTAGACTTCCTTAAAAGATCAAATGTAACACATACAAGGAGAAACAGACTCAAGCTCAACAAGCAGCAATGAAAGACAAAACAGGTGTTTATTCACTTTTAGGGTCAGAAAAATATGGAAATGCCTATCTGCCAAAACCATAAATGCCAAGACGACACTACAATTCAAAATTCAAATGAAAAAATCTTCAGTAGAAATAGGAAAGGGGTCCCTTTGACAAGTAAGTAAGTAAGTAATCATCAAAAGAAGGCACCAAACCGGGAAGGCTATGTAGCACCATCAAATACGCAAAATAATCAGAGGATCCCTTTGACAAGCCCTTGGTTTTCTGTTTCTATCGAGGTCACTAGAGAAATGGTGCCTCTCAGGTAAATTCATACCTTCAATATCTTCTTACATACAAGGAAAATTACTTGTCTTCTATCAGCAGCCAGGCTGATAGAAGCCAAAATAGGGAGTCACATGCCCGGAAAAAAACACACATAATAATGGGTGGATTCATGAAACACATACATGCCATAAACTGTAATCATACCTCATGCAATATACCCCACAAATGAATTACAGTATACATTATTGCATTATTAGAGGTCCAAAAAATGATCAATAGCACACACCTGAAGGTAAAATAAACTCAAGATTCATAAGGCAGATCAGGTCAACAGAAAAACCTCCTTAGTGTTAAGGAACACTGAATTGTTTTGTGGAATGATGTAAAGCAACATAATCAGTTACTCTCTCTCCCTGCCCCCATCTGTTTCTCAAGTAAAAGCAAGAGTTCTCGTTTGGTGTCACTTATGATGCTAAGGGAGGGCTTCAGAATGGTTTTCAGTATAAACGAATGTACGTGTACCTTCTGGCGACCATTCTGGACTGGACTGATTTTTCCCCAATATCTTTGATGACAGTACGTTATTAAAGTAAATAACCTTTCAAATGCAAGTGCTGTCAGTATTACTACACTGAACTGTAATGACCCTGTAGGTTCATCTGATACATTCTAAGTGGTGCCGATGCCATAATGCTTACATGATCCTGATCACAGGACAATGGATGTTTATATTAGGTAGTAACCCTATATTAGGGAGTAACCCAATTATTCTGCTGAAAAAGTTGTTCTTCATATTCATACAGACACATTTTTTATTTATATTGACACATGAAATTCCTGACTAAATCTATTAGAACAATAGAAGAAACCTGAAGTGCCTGCATGAAACAAGCATTTCAAGTTTCATAATTTGATAAATAGTTTTCTATATACAATAATACAAGGTAATTAATGAAAGATTAAGTGTCGTCTCAATGAAGTGAATATTACCTGATCTCGAGTGACTTTGCAACGTTTATTCCCCTCTCCACCTGCTTTTAATAAGGTAGCAGTATGCAGTACCGCCCACCGCAGAGTTACGTTACACTCTCGTAGAAGGTTGAGAATCTTGTTACTGTGATCCAAGACTCTGGCTTCACTCATGACACCCTCAGCAAGCAGCTGGTCTGTCTGTTTAACAAGCTTGTTCATTTTGGCACTTACTTTACATGCTTGTTCTCTAATGTTTGAAAGCTGCAAATAAAATTACCAAATTATAATCTACAGTAACATTTCAATGCTAAAAGTAATATTTTCAGTTTTCTTTCAACAAAACAAAAAATACAAAATTTCAAGAGGAAGTATTTGCATAGACACAACACTTTATTATACTGCAACACCCAGCATAGCGCTGTTCTTCCATTACCTCGAGCGTGTTGTTGAGAGCTTGCTTAGCGGCTTTGTACGGCTCCCAGGCATCAATAAGATTCACAGTCATACCCATATAGTAACTGATGACCCAATTGTCAGGAAAGAATTTATCAACAATCTCTCTCATCTTTGCTGTTTGAGAGTGGAGTGTATTAGGAGTGAAATATAGACACACAAACAGCATGGCAGACTGGTTGGCCAATGCTGTCGACCGATGGTCTGGTGATGGGTATGCTTGCACCTGAAGATCAAAATCAAATTAAATATAAATGTGAAAAATTAGCAAATTGTATTGTTTGAATGTATGCCCAAATCCTACCAATATATTGATTAATTTTTTTGTTACTGTGCTCTGCCGAAATTTTATTACAGTGGTGCCTCGATAAGCGAATTTAATCTGTTCCGGCACCAAGCTTGTCATGTGAAACGCTCATCGTGTGAAACAACAACACTGTTGTTGGAAGCGTTGGAGAACCAGCAGGAACGCTAGGACGCACAATGTGGTTTGCTTGTTAATCGAGCGAAAACTCAAGACAAATTTTCTGCAAGTGGCTTGCTCATTACTCAAAATGCCCATAACTGGAGACGCTCGTCATTCGAAGTTCCACTGTATTTATATGTATGTGTGTGTATTTTATATATATACAGTATATAAAATGTGATAATTCCATGAACTTATTACCTGTAAAAATGTGCTATGTCCAATTGCAAGATTAAGGCTCATATAAATATTGGAATAAATACAGGGTGTGCATATATATATTAATACACATCTGTACATACAGTATGTGTATTTCCAGTTATACATAATGAATACCCCCCCTTTTAACACAATACAACATGTAAACATAAAAAAACCAAGTGAGAACAACATCATTAAATGGGCGGAGTTATTGCCACATAGCACCCCCACATCACTAACGAAATTATATTTAAATTTATTTTTTCTAAAATATTTCTTCTAAGCAAAAAAAAAATTTACCCTGCACAGTTAGAGGATGAAATAATAATCTTCATATTCATTCAACAGTTCCTGTAGACTATAGACATTCCAACCCCAGTGACAATGACAGTGACCATAATGCTAACACTTGGAGAGAACCAAAATCTAATTCTAATATCATAGTGCCAAATGCTACATTAAGTGCAAACTTATATTTTAAGGAATTAATACATATTACTGCATTAGGCTAAGATTAGAATGGATTTAATAAGATTTGATTTGGTCAAGCAATTTCTATTTTAAGTAGTAAATAAAACCTAGTGACAAGTAGCAAAAGACGTAACTATCATAGTCTATTTTTGCTGTACCCGAGGGTTTTCAGGCCAAATATACAGGTTAATTTAAATACTGTACTTTAATTACCTTATTCTGTTTCCAAAAACATAACTTTTTTGGTCTGTACACAAATACAGAATAATAGTGCTACACTGTGCCTAGCAAATGGTGAGTGACAACAATCCATGCTAGTGTCAACCAATTATGGCAACAATATCAAGCATGAACTAAATATGACCATTAAATGCTAATCAATTAAACTATTGATGTAAGTCAGTAAGTAATTATCAAAAGAAGGCACCAAACTGGGAAACTATTTATGTAATTTGACATTTAATTAATAAACCCCCAATCCACAAAAGAATGAATTCACTAATTACACGAGTGAGTCTTCCAAGCATTTTGCAATCGAAGGTTAACTAACAGACAAAACCTCATGCAATTATTGTTAGTCTCCATATGTAGCTTGCATTATTTATTTATATTACTCCAAGTGGCAGCGAGAACTATGCAACATTTGATAAACATGACATAATATACATTGCAAAGAAGTCTTTATAACAACGGAGATTCTACAAACTCAGATGTAATGTTAAGGTTTTGAACTGCACTAAAAATTATAAAGCTAAGTGTATATGATACAAACCTGATGATAGATGTCGTCTGATCGTAAGTGACCCAGCACTAAGTTTAAGAAATTGCTTGGCATTTCAACTCTCCTGAAAAGAGGAGCATATCATATTTATTGGTATTTTAACTGTACAAACAGAAACATCATAATTTAATGAAACTTGACAATAACTATTATAGCTGAAGAGTAACAGTGGATAATGATACCTAAAGATTTGTTGCGACTTATTGCAAGATCAAACTGAGATTACCTAAAATAGTCCTCTGGATAATTCAGAGGTCTTTTGCTTCCAGGGAGGACAGAAAAGCCTGTAGATCTCAGAAGCTTGCACACATCATCAACATTGGTGTCACTGGCTTTTCGGCCAGTGTGTCGGTGATGAGCAACAATGATCCTCTCTCGCACTAAGCCAGGAAAGAGAGTGTCCACAACCAAAAGCATAACTCCGTACAGATATAATGCTTCACACTGCAGAAGAAAAAAAATTAATAAATATTTTGATTGAAGAGTTCATGTTTTTCGTTTCACAGATGGTAACATAAACAAATTAACACTTTCGCCCGGGCATGACGCAACATTGCGTCATCCGTTTACTGTCGGTAATGCCGAGGATGACGCAGCATTGCGTCATCCACTTTAAATAATCGCCAAAAATCAGGTTTTTATTCAATTTTTTTGGGACTGGTTTTAAAATGCGCGCCGATGTCTTCCCATTTTTTTGTTGAGCCTCATGGCCCTCAGGCGGCTTGGCACACGCCGTGGGCCCATTGTTTTTGCTCCACTGTTGTGACCAATGTCGCCTCCCCTTGCATCTCAAACGTGTGAACATTTCGGCTATATTTCTTACTGCGGCTTTAGAAACTATCTACGCTTACTCCACGATGGATAGTGATCATGAACAAGGCCCTTCCAGGAAGAAAATTGTGAAAGAAAGGCTTGAAAAGGGCGGGAATTGGGAGTGTAGCTGGAAGGCGTCTGAGCGCTCACTTGCGGCTTACGCATGGCCCGTCTTCAACTCGTCGGCGGTTGGAGCGTGACCAGGTTTTTTATTTTATATGCTAATGTTCCTCTAGAGAATTCTATTGCGAACCCATTGAGACCAAAATAAAAGACCTAGGACGAAAATTGAGGTGACCAGAGTGAAAATAGTGAAAACATTTTATGGCGTTTGTGCGCTCCTGGGTAACTCGTTCGCACTTTCTCTGTTTGCTGCAGGTAATTAGCCAGGCTTTTGGAGTTTATATGCATTTAGTGCTGTAGAGAATTCTATTGTGAACACAATGATACAAAATTTAATCTCGTAGGACAAGAATTAAGGTGACAAAGTTGAAGAGAGTATACACTTTTCAGAATTTACGCGCGCTCCCGTGATACCCTGGGTCCCATATCGCACAGTTGAGGGGTGGCGCACGGGGTACGCCAAAGTTTTAACAGTAATAAAATAATATGATTATTATTGAGGGTTTGAAGTAAAAATTTTGTAAAATGGGTATTTATATGGGTAAAAAAAAAAAAAAAAAAAAAAATGCAATGAAATGCCAGTTTCTGGGCGAGCCCCAAAGGCTCCCTGAATCTATCTCACTGATATAGTGATACCCAATTTGGGGTCATCAAATTGGGTCATTTTTGGTTTTATAGTAAATCAGCCAGTTATAGTAAATTAAAAAAAAAAAAAAATAAATGGCCAACCTACTCATGAAAAACTCTCCAGACACAAAGCAGATCGCCTTAAAGGAGACCAATGTCATCTATGCCTTCAAATGCCCACTTGGGGGACTGTAAGCTCCAAAGACCTCAGTATATAGGCAAGACAACATCTCTTTCCAGGCGATTAACAATGCATAAGCAACAGGGCTCCATTAAGGAACATATAATCTCTTCCCACAACCAGACCATCACCAGAGAAGTCTAAACAAACACAAAAATCATCGATAGATACAGTAATAGCAGGCGGCTCGACATCTGCGAGGCACTACACATCAAAAAGTCAACACCAGCAATCAACAGCCAATTAATGCACAACTATATTCTACCCACTTCAAGACTCCATACAGTACCAATATAGAAGCATCAGGAGGAAGTGTGGGCCAATAGGCCCTTTGCAGTTACTTCCATTCTTATGCTCTCATATATCCAATTAATACCCATTGTTCCGTGTTCTGTCTTGTGTTTGTCAAAAGTTTGTTCACCTCATCCAAAACTGTTGCACCATATCACCTCACCCAAGTGAGAGTATATAAGACGGATAAGCTGTTTAGTGTTAGCATAAGTAAAACTCTGTTTAGTGTTTTCCGGTTACAGTTGTGTGTGCAAACTAAAAGTCTTTGAAAATGTAACAAGTTATTACGAAACGCATTCAAGCGTTGCGTCAGACTAGAAATAAAAATGAATTTTGGAGAACTGATTTTTCAATTACCATCGACAGTAAAAAGAAACATAAGAAAGAGAAAATTTGTGTTAGAATTATTAATCTTACCTTTTCGGTTATTTATATATATATATATATATATATATATATATATATATATATATATATATATATATATATATATATATATATATATATATATATATATATATATATATATATATATATATTCATATATATATATATATATTCATATATATATATATATATATTCATATATATATATATATATATATATATATATATATATATATATATATATATATATATATATATATATATATATATATATATATATATATATATATATATATATATATATATATATTACTGTATCATTACAGTAATATAATGCTATTACTGTATCATATATATATATATATATATATATATATATATATATATATATATATATATATATATATATATATATATATATATATATATGAATATATATATATATATATATATATATGAATATATATATATATATATATATATATATATATATATATATATATATATATATATATATATATATATATATATATATATATATATATATTTCATATATATATATATATATATATATATATATATATTCATATATATATATATATATATATATATATATATATATATATATATATATGATACAGTAATAGCATTATATTACTGTAATGATACAGTAATATATATATATATATATATATATATATATATATATATATATATATATATATATATATATATATATATATATATAACTGAAAACTCACACCCCAGAAGTGACTCGAACCCATACTCCCACAACTGGTATGTACAGGGACGCCTTAATCCGCTTGACCATCACGACCGGACAAAAGGAAGTGATAGCCGAGGCTATATGAACCACTTCCCCGCCGGCACTCGGATGGTAATCTTGGGCATAGCATTTTATCAAATCACCTCATTCTTTGGGGCACACGTGAGGAACACAAATGCAAACAAGCCTGAATGGTCCCCAGGACTATATACAACTGAAAACTCACACCCCAGAAGTGACTCGAACCCATACTCCCACAACTGGTATGTACAGGGACGCCTTAATCCGCTTGACCATCACGACCGGACAAAAGGAAGTGATAGCCGAGGCTATATGAACCACTTCCCCGCCGGCACTCGGGTGGTAATCTTGGGCATAGCATTTTATCAAATCACCTCATTCTTTGGGGCACACGTGAGGAACACAAATGCAAACAAGCCTGAATGGTCCCCAGGACTATATACAACTGAAAACTCACACCCCAGAAGTGACTCGAACCCATACTCCCACAACTGGTATGTACAGGGACGCCTTAATCCGCTTGACCATCACGACCGGACAAAAGGAAGTGATAGCCGAGGCTATATGAACCACTTCCCCGCCGGCACTCGGATGGTAATCCTTTTGTCCGGTCGTGATGGTCAAGCGGATTAAGGCGTCCCTGTACATACCAGTTGTGGGAGTATGGGTTCGAGTCACTTCTGGGGTGTGAGTTTTCAGTTGTATATAGTCCTGGGGACCATTCAGGCTTGTTTGCATTTGTGTTCCTCACGTGTGCCCCAAAGAATGAGGTGATTTGATAAAATGCTATGCCCAAGATTACCATCCGAGTGCCGGCGGGGAAGTGGTTCATATAGCCTCGGCTATCACTTCCTTTTGTCCGGTCGTGATGGTCAAGCGGATTAAGGCGTCCCTGTACATACCAGTTGTGGGAGTATGGGTTCGAGTCACTTCTGGGGTGTGAGTTTTCAGTTGTATATAGTCCTGGGGACCATTCAGGCTTGTTTGCATTTGTGTTCCTCACGTGTGCCCCAAAGAATGAGGTGATTTGATAAAATGCTATGCCCAAGATTACCATCCGAGTGCCGGCGGGGAAGTGGTTCATATAGCCTCGGCTATCACTTCCTTTTGTCCGGTCGTGATGGTCAAGCGGATTAAGGCGTCCCTGTACATACCAGTTGTGGGAGTATGGGTTCGAGTCACTTCTGGGGTGTGAGTTTTCAGTTGTATATAGTCCTGGGGACCATTCAGGCTTGTTTGCATATATATATATATATATATATATATATATATATTTTGGTAGCAGTCTTTCCTGTAGACATATATTATTAAATATGACCGAAAAAGTAAGATTAATAATTCTAACACGAATTTTCTCAATCTTTCGTACATTACGCTTCACTGTTGGAGGTAAATAAAAAATCACTTCTCCAAAATTCATTTTTATTTCTAGTCTGACGCGACACGGGCGCGTTTCGTAAAACTTATTACATTTTCAAAGACTTCACAAATACACAACTGATTAGAACTTACGTATCTCTGATTTTATATCTACATTTGAGTGAGGTGGGAGGGGTGATGTGGCATTAACACAAGACAGAACAAGAGGGGATATTAATAGGGTATTAAAAGTATCAACACAAGACAGAACAGAAACAATGGGTATTGAATAGAAGTGTTTGTAGAAAGCCTATTGGTCCATATTTCTTGATGCTTCTATATTGGAGCGGAGTCTTGAGGTGGGTAGAATATAGTTGTGCAATAATTGGCTGTTGATTGCTGGTGTTGACTTCTTGATGTGTAGTGCCTCGCAAACGTCAAGCCGCCTGCTATCGCTGTATCTATCGATGATTTCTGTGTTGTTTACTAGGATTTCTCTGGCGATGGTTTGGTTATGGGAAGAGATTATATGTTCCTTAATGGAGCCCTGTTGCTTATGCATCGTTAAATGCCTAGAAAGAGATGTTGTTGTCTTGCCTATATACTGGGTTTTTTGGAGCTTACAGTCCCCAAGTGGGCATTTGAAGGCATAGACGACGTTAGTCTCTTTTAAAGCGTTCTGTTTTGTGTCTGGAGAGTTTCTCATGAGTAGGCTGGCCGTTTTTCTGGTTTTATAGTAAATCGTCAGTTGTATCCTCTGATTTTTGTCTGTAGGGATAACGTTTCTATTAACAATATCTTTCAGGACCCTTTCCTCCGTTTTATGAGCTGTGGAAAAGAAGTTCCTGTAAAATA